GGGAGAGAGAGAGGGAGTGCAGCAAAGGGCCACAGGCTGGAGTCGAACCCGGGCCGCTGCGGCAACAGCCTTGAACATGGGGCGCCTGCTCTACCACTAAGCCACCAACGCCCCAGCAGCAACACTCTTGATGTAATGGTAGTGAGGTCAGAGTGATGTAACCGTTACCTTGTTAATGTGTTACAAGATTAAGGGAAGGTTCTTTAGAACTATTATGAGCTTTTGTTTCCTTACCATGGGACCTGTTTCCCACAGACATTAGGTATCTTCCGTGGTGATGCTCTGTCTCATGTGGCCTCTTGTACTTTATTTTGTCGGGTCTTCAGCAACTGAAAGTCATGATTGGAAAAACACAAGTCAGGTATCTGACTTGAAGAGTCAAGACTGTGATACACTTGGGCAGTATATCAGGGATTTTTGTCCTGCTGCTTTGCAATTGGGGTTTATTTTCAAAATGGATGTGATCCTACACTGTTCATCCAATATGGATGTGAACACCAACTACCCCTAAAGGAGCACTTTACCCCTCAAGTAACCATGTGTATATCAGTCACTCACCCTGTGTTATGCTGAATTCATGGAGAAAATGCCTCCACAGTGAACAAAGAGTCCAAAAACAGAAAATTCTTGATGAATTTGATAGTGAGGTAAAATTTCTGTTTTTGTCAGTGGAGTCTGGCTTTAAAGAATGCATAGGTAGGTTTAACTTTTAGTTCAGCTCCCTATCAGAAAGAGCTGTCTGTTTGGGAACAAGTTATGTGAGCACATGAGCAGGTGTTTGATACAGTTTTTCTGTTGTTAAACATGGCCCCCTATGGCTTCAGTTCAGGAAGAATTTTCTTTAGTTTTAGATTTCTCGTTCAAAAACAGTTATCTTCGTGAATTCAGTGTAACACGGGGTGAAGTATCTCAATAAAGCTGAAAGCAAGCACTAAACCTTGTTGTAATTGTTGAGTTCAATTCAGTGTTCTGAGGTAAAGAGCAAGGAAACAATGAAAGACAAGTCAGTGTCTTAATACTTAACGGCTGCAGTGTGTGTGTTGGTTAGTAACCCTCAGCCAAATGTATACACTTCTGTTTTACTGTAGTCAGCAGCTATCCGTAGGTGTTGGCTGAGGTGTTAAATTTGTTGTTGCATCGCTTCATGCACATGAGGTGGTGTAGGTCATAAATATCTGTTGTTTCTGCCCTTTAAAGATAACACTGTGATTAGTATAAAAATCTAATGGGTGTTTTACTTTTTTCCTGCACAAATGCAAAAAGAGCAAAATATGACTAAACATTTTTCTCTCTCCATCCTCACAGTAGACATCTTTTATTATACTAATATGAGTCTGAAAAACATCTATTTCACCTATTTTACATCCCTTCAGACTTTTAAAAATAAGTAATGTACATTTAAATAACAAATGTATTGGCTCTGATATCTCATTCAATCTGTGGGATATTTTCTTGCATGTATTGAAACTCATTTGCAGCTTGTGTGATGAGCTGCTGCGTCTGAAAAGTGAACTGGTCAAGTGCAGTGCAGGTGCAGTTTTCCATTAGTATTATTTCTTGGCCACTCGTCATGCTGTATGACACAGTTTTGTTTCATATGATGTTCCCTTTGAAGCCAGACACCATTACACCATTAACATTTAGTTTCTTTTTGTTCTGTAGTGTAGCCAAAGTGAGCCCACACAACAGACATGGCATCTTGTTTGTCTGTGAGCACTTCCTCATCTGTACTCACGCCCCCAGCTGGCATTTCCTCAACAGTCCTTTTATCTGTTCCAGTAATTACACAATTTAAAGCTGAGCAGTGAAACAAATGAACCCACACTAGGTCTGGGCAGTATATTGATAATATATTAATATTGTGATATGAGACTAGGTATTGTCTTAGATTTTGGACTAATCGCAAATGTTGTCTTTTCCTGGTTTTACAGGCTGCACTACAGTAAAGTGATGTATTTTACCAGACTATTCTAGCTGTTCTTTTATTTGCCTTTATGCACTTAGTTATTGTATCCACATTACTGATGATCATTTATCCAAAAACTCACTGTGTAAATATTTGTGAATGCACCAATGGTCAACCCCACAATATCTTCTCAGTGTCGAGGTATTTAGTTAAAAATATTGTCATATTTAAATTTCTCCACATCACCCAGCCGGAGTTGTCACTTTGGGTTTGGCTCCGTTGAGTTTTAGCATTCTGCAACCTTTTATCTGTATCTATGGTGCTTTAAGGAAGTATTCAGACCCTACACTATTTTTTTATTTATTCATTTATTTTTTTTACATTTGGTCATGTTGCAGTCTTGTGCTTCATTTTTCCCCTCATTAATCTACACTCAATATGACAAATGACAACACTAAAAAAGAATTTTAGTATTTTATGTATTACAAGGTGGCATATCACACAGAAACAAGTACCTTGTACCAGTACCTTTGGTAGCAATTACAGTCTTGAGTTGTCTTTGACCCGACAAGCTTAGAACACAGGCAGCAAAAACAGTCATCCACTAAAATGTCTGATTTAATAGTGTGGTTTTGGTCAAGCGAACCCTCCTAGTGACACGTCCGTCCTGTCTGTTACAGGTGCGGGGCTGAGCGGCCGTCAGATGCACCGCACACAGGGCGTGTTCAACCACACGGAGGACTACGTGCTGCTGCCAGACGAGCGCACCATCAGCCTGTGCTGCTGGGACTCGCGCACAGCCGAGAGGAAGAACCTGCTGTCTCTGGGACACAACAACATCGTCCGCTGCATCGTCCACTCACCCACCAACCCCGGCTTCATGACCTGCAGTGACGACTTCAGGGCCCGCTTCTGGTACCGCCGCACCACCACAGACTGAAACACATCCAGCCGCCATGTTCCTACTCTCCAGCTTCACTTCATCTCTTTTTTCTGAGAATACACAGGATGCTGAGCTCAGTTGTTTTCAGTGAACTCATCGTTGTTTTGTGATCTGTGGTGACCGTCATTTTTATTTCGTTGAACCTGCAATGGAACTGATGGGACAGTACTTACGAAAAGGAGCTGTCATTGCACCATCTTCAGAGTAAAGCAGTATTTCCGTAGATGTTTTCTCCGTTTGACAACAACTCGTTTTAATTAAAGTCTGACTTAAAAATCCTTTTACTGTTTGGAAACCTCAGCTCTTCTCACACCTCATAGTCCTCAGTCATTAATAACAACAGAGTTGTTTTGTTGGATTTTCCACTTTTATATTTTGTCTACGTCCTTTGTTGTAATTCAGATTTTTATTAAAAAGTTAAAAGAAACAAGTGTCTTCTGTGAATTTGTTGGCTAAAAGTCCCCTTCAGAACTCATAACCACAGTTATGGTAATATCCTGTTGATATTTTAAGACCACAGTTGTTGCTGCAGAAAGTTAGCAATCTGCAGGGAGCACAAATGGGCAATGATGTGCAACAACACACGCTCAGACACAGACGCAACAGTCATTGTAGAAATACATTTACTTAGTTCTGTCTGTGGCTTAATTCATTAACATAGAAGAAGCCCAAACTTTAAATGTTTTAAAAGGGAACTACAGCTATTTTCAAAATACATACATGCTATTCCTATGGTCTAAGACAGTCCAAAAATATTAGTAAACATGAACAACTAAATTCTAGATCCAAATGCTAGAGTGATAAAACTCAAATATATGATGTCATCAAGTGTAAACTCTGGAGATGCAACATTGATAAACTGAATTGAACTGAAAGATGTTATAGATGACACAGAGAGTGTCCAGGGGAACGTCCTAAGTATAGATCGAATCACAGTGTTTGTTTTCAATACTTGTAGTGTAGAAAACCCCAGCATCCCGTGCATAAACATAAATGGTCTAAGTGTACACTATTTTCGGAAGATTTTAGATGATGTTTTACCTTGGTATCAGACAGCCCTTTCTGACAGGGAATTAAAGTCACTATCTCAAAGCCACCAGACACAACTGACAAAAACAGTCATTTTACTTTGCAGAACACGGGAGTTGCTGGTCAGGTGCTGCCTTGATTGGTAAGTGTGTAATGTAAAGCAGAGAAAATACAGCGTACACTTAAATTTTTATTTAGGTGGCTAAAATACATTTTATCACTGCAGTACATTGTTCAGCTTATGTGTAAGTAGATTTAGTTTTTAAAGGTGCTCGCAAAGCAACTGTACATATAATAAGCACATCTAAACGTTACAGATATGGCTGAATTTGACAACAGAAATACATGAATGCTTGATGACATCACAAGTTTGAGACTTCTCTGGTTTCTGTCTTTTAGAGCGAGTAGCTCATCTTCACAAATATTGACTCAAGTTTCCTCGGCCATGAAAACGACATATTGGAATTTTTAATTTAGGTGGTGTTGCCCTTTAAAATACCTTGTTGCATTTAGTGACACCCTTAAAAAATCAGAACAATGAAAGAAAAACAACAGAAAACATATCAAAGCTCCTGATTTCCTCCTCTACTTCAGCCTGCACCCTGACAGCAGAAGGTCACCGTGCCCCCATCACTCGTCTGCATTCCCCAACCCCCTACCCAGCTCTCCCAGACGCTCCAGTCTTTGTTGTCCCGACAACAACAAGTAAGGCCACAAGAATTTCTGCTTCAAACAAACTGACCCCCCCCCTCAACCCCCCAACCTGCCTTATAAATCTGTTACGCATATGGAGGAATTTGTCAGACTTATAAGAAAAGAGGAAGCAAAAATAATTCGAGACGACAAAAATTCCCTCAGTTAGCTGGAAAAGTAAACCAGTGACAAGTGATGCACTTCTGCTTTATTGGTAAGATGGGGGGGTAAAAGCATAGAGTGACATGAAGCTGAGTGAATAAACCAAAAAGAAAAAAGTGGTGGGCTGGAGCAGCTGCACAGAGGAGGTGTCTCCAGCCAATGGGGCTGCAGGAAAGCAGCTTTGTCAATGACATGGTACTCTGTTACTCCGCCCAGGGTGTACAACAGTGTGGCTCTCAGTGACAGCTCAGACAATATGCTTGAGACGCAGACAGGAGTAAATCCCCAACAGTTTACACACACACACACTCATGGATGAGATGGTTCACTGAAAAACTGACTCTCTGTGGACGGACTTATTTCTCTGTGTGGACACAACTGCTTTAACAAACATGGTGAGTGCTGCAGCTGCCTTTGACATAGTTACACTTTAGTCTCAATTTAATGTTTATTCCTGAATGATTTATAATCTCAGTTTTGGATGTATACTGTGATGTATCCACTCTGTTGTGTACTGTTGCCCGTCCAAAGGAATGTCCCTGTAGACCACCTGCTTGGATTTCACTTAAACTTGCGGTGTCAGCTACCGCCTATTTCTACACACAGCCTCACTGACCTGCTCCACTGTAGGCTGAAACCTGAGAGATCCTGACAGAGCTGAGAGTGAAACTTTATGAGCCTCATTAACACACAAGCCTTTAGAAGTGAGATGATCAACTCAGGCTGCTCAGAAATAGATAATTGGGGCGTTACATGTGAATCTGTGCATCATTTATAAATAAAATAAATGTGTCACTGTTACATCCTTACAACAGCTGATCAAACTGCCTGCATGTTAGTTTCTGAGCTCCTAAAACTCCTACACGTGTTGCTGTGCTCTGCGTGTACTTTTTGTTTGAGGGATCTGTTGAGTGAACCTTTTGTGGCTGGTTTGGTTCCCTTACTCGTCTGTCGTTGAAACCTCACATTCTCCGTCCAGCTTGATGCCTCTTTAACTCAGCTGGACTCTCACTTATTTGCCTGGATGTTGCCAAAATTGGTGTCGGGTTTTAAAGGGCCAGTGTGTAGGATTTAGAGGGATTTAGTGGTATCAAGCGGTGAGGACAGCAGATTGCAACCAGCTGAAACTTCTCCTGGTTAGAATTATGTCAGTGTTCATTGTTCAGGAGGTTTTAAACGGAGCTGAATCATCCGCAGAGGTTTTTTCCTCTCAAAAACAAATGGACCAGGTTATTAAAATTGATAAAAACATGGAATGAAGCTGTTTCATGTTAAAAAAAAATCTATCTTTTTCTGACGCAAAAATGCGACATCTAGAACCAGTGTTTGGTTTGCCTGTTCTGGATTGCTGTAAAAACATGGTGGTGAAACATGGCGATCTCCGCAGACAAGGACCCGCTCCGAAATAAACAGATCACTCCAAGGTGACAAAAACACAATATTTCTTATTTTCCGTTGATAATACACCAAGAAAACATACTTATTATATTCATTTTCTGGCAATATAACCCCCTAAATTCTACACACTGGACCTTTAAGTTTGACTGCTTATCGTTGGTGGACTTGTTTTCTGATGCTCTTTGCAGCTTGACCAAGAAATGATCAGTGCATGCATTTGCAGCACTTTGTCTCCACATGTCAGTGTTTATTAAAGGACCCCCAGAGTAACTAAATGGGACTGCAAGGTAGCCAGCAGCAGATGGAGAAAACATTACATTTAGCTCAAGAGAATCAGAGAATGTCTGCCTCCTCTCCTACAATTTATCCACATCTTTGCTTAGACTAGTTTTGAATTTATTTGCTGGTTAAAAGTAGAGAATAATTCTGCACAGCAGCAGTTACACTTGACTGGGGCCAACCAGCCCAGTTATTATTTGGTTTGGGGGTCTTTAGGTTGTAAATGTTTAAAAAGCCTCCACGTGATTGATGTAAAGGCAAAGCATAATCTTCTCAGGTCCTATCTGTAGCTCACAGTTGAGGGAGAGGATATGCATCATCCTGACATTTTCCCATACAAAGCAAATATGCAACTGAGCTCATCTTATTCATCGCGTCTTTAAGAAAAATGACTGGTTCGGCCAGTGACTAACAGTCAGTTTAAGCAATCTCGTTTCCGTTCTATAAGGGTATTTGGTGCTGGAATTTATTTTCGTTTTAGTTCACTGAGAGCTATTTTGGGATGCCTCGTGTGCTGTGTAGCTGTCTGTCTGTTTTTGTCATCTGAGAGCAGGAGTCAGTCATGAGGGCTTAAGCAGCAGGAGGCTGGCATGGAGAAGTGGCAGCATCCTCTTCGTATCCCACTCAGGGAAGTTCAAATAAGTTTAATTCTCCATCTGTGCTGTATGTTATCCAGCCGCTGTCTGTGTGTTGAGCTGCTGGGGATTATTCAGCTACCTCAGACATGAGAGGCCCCCATCGTCCATTCTGTGAGGATACGTGCCAACTGGGCTATAGGCTCCTGAATACACTTGCCAGAGTATGAAAACAAAATTAAGCGAGTCAATAAAGACTTGGATTTCTAGGGAAATAATATATGGATGAATAAATATTGCACAATAATGGCTTGCAAAACAACTGGGGCTTTCCACAACCATTTCTCTGAATGTCATGTTTGGTTTTCGTGGGAGGTTTATATAAAAAAACAGGCCTGAAACCCCTGTCAATCCGCTTTTTAAGGGTGCTCTGACAACTAAAAATCTAGTAAACCCACTGTGCACTTTTAGCTCAGCAACAAACAGCAGACTGACGAACAGGTGAAAAAGTGGAACATTTAGCAGTTAAACAGCTAAATATTTTTCTCAGGAGTTGGTGGAGACCAAAAACAAAGCTAAAAGACATGTGAATAGTAAGCCATTTTCACACATGAAGTCTATCCCCAACATGTTCAGGAACATTTCCTGCATGGGGTCACGTATGAATGGAAGCAGAGATCGATATGCAGGGAAATCTGTACCACCAGTTTCCCACCTCAAGATTCAGTTACATTTCAGGAAAAAACATCGGTATGGCTGTTTTGTGAATGAAAGCAGTAACATTGCAGGGACGAGGATTCGCAACTTGTTAACAGTTTACCATTTACTCCAATGCTTTCGTGGGATATTAAATACATTACAAGAACATTGGCATGGGACAAAAACGGCTCCTTGTCCACCATGTTCCTGAAAGTAATAACAGACGTAACAGGCATCGATAAGTGTTGCATTACCACCATGTGCTAGACTGCCCCTTGCCCCATCTATTCCAGCATTGCCATGGCACGTATGAAACGGTGCAAGATGGAAATGTTCCTAAATGTAGAGCATGTCTGAGTAGTGAAAATCCCTGGCAGTGCCTGAATTGTTATCCCAGTAATTTATGGGAACTGTGTGTGAAAGATGCATTGAATTTTTCAGGTGGCCAAAAACATAACTCCAAATGAGTCACAAGCATGGCAGTTTGTGTGTACCTGGTGGTGTATCGTTAGTGCCAGTGATCCACACACCAAATATCCCATATATAGCCTATTGCTTTATGTTGCAAAAGTAGTGCTGCCACTTAAAACATGGTGTTAGTTGCTATAAAACAATCTCTATTTTTAGGGTTAGAAACTACATTTTTTTGTTCACTGTTTGCAGAGATATCATTGCTCCATAGCACTAATGTTGGTCAAAAATTCCATAGTGTACCTTTAAGTGATCCATCAGATTTCCTGCAAACCTGACCATGCTACACACAATGTTAAAAGCAGTGTAAATGCATGAAGGAAATGCCACATTTCCCCAATATGTTTAATGGTTTGTAGTATTGTCTCAAAAAGAAAGATTCATCTTCAAATGTTTACTCCAGCCCCGTTAAATTCCCAGTAATGTTTGTGTCTGTGCAGGGAGAAAGATCCAACAATGATCTGCACTCTAACAAAGCATTGGTTAAAAGTCAACCACCCAACACGCTCCTTAACCCTGTAACAGTATAAGCTACAAGTAAAGCATCAAAGTGACGACACAGTGAACATATTCACTGTGACACAAGGCAGAAGATGAGACTGAGGAAGTGTGAGTATAAATAAAACCAGAATGTGAGCGGTGAGATAAGTTCCTGCCACAGAGCAGGAACTTCCTGCTCACTACAGTCCATCCTACAGTGTTTCTTCTTATTCTGTTTGGTGTTAGATAGAGTTTGACAAGATAGGACTCAAACCTGTACTTGTAATCAAACATTGAAATGAATGATCTATTTGTTTGTAAAATCTTACAAAAAACTGAACCAGTAATCTCCTACGCTGTTTGTTGAAAGTAGTTACATTTCTGTTATCACTATTACTGAACTCTGCAGCTGTAATTATAAGTCACTCAAATAATGCAGTATAGCTAAAACTTAAATGCTAGCATGCAAAAGCTCAAAGGTTCACATATTAGCTTCGGAAGATTTAAACCACATCTCACTGTCTTCATTTGTTCATATGTTAAAGCATGTGTTAAATTCTTGTTTTACTTTTCCAAAAGAGCATTAAAATGTTTATCTCTCACATATTAAATAGAGTAAAACTGCAGCACAAGGGAGAAACAAGTTATGAATTTCATTTGTTCAGCTATAAATTAAAGGTCCAGTGTGTAGGATATAGTGGCATCTAGTGGTGAGGTTGTAGAACTGAAACTTCTCCTGCGTGCCAAGCGTGTTGGAGAACTATGGTGGCCGATACAAAAAATGGAAATGTCCCTATTTTTTTCTCTTATAGGTTACTGTAGAAACAATATGGCCAACTCTATGGGAGAGGACCCACACTGTATGTATATATAAAGTGCTCATTCTAAGGTAACGAAAACACAACAATTCTTGTTTTCAGGTGATTATAAACTAATGAAAACATAGGAATGAATATTACACACTATTTGTGCGAACAAATGCCCTTAAATCCTACACACTGGACCATTAAAGTTTGCTAACATTAGCTAACATTAGCTACTATAAGCTACAGGTCATACCAGAGTATGTGAAGCTGTAGCAGATGAACCACAGAGTGTTTAAAAGAAACGAATAGTGTTTTCTTGTTTTAAGTCAAACTGACTTACTAATTTTAACATTAACAGTCCATAAACTGATGGGAATAATGTAAATCTTGAGAATCTCTGCTTCCAAAAAAAGAACTAAATAATCTATTGGAGATTATATCACTTTACCCATCCCTAATAGACCTTTTTGCTTACTTTGGAAACATATTAAGCCTAGTTCCGGTTTGTTTAGTCTTATATTGTCATAAGAAGATTAGCTGTTTGTGTGGAATGTCCACTAAATGGTCCTAGGAAGTTTTCATCAAGTGTGTGTGTGCGTTTGTTTATGAGATTTTGACATAGTTCTCACCAGTTCCCATACAGGAAATACCAGGGCAGCTGTAGCGAGTCAATGTCACTGCCACGGAGCCTGAATCAGTCTCCACAGCCTCCTCTTGGATTTGTCTGGGTTGGAGAGTGAGATGATAGAGGTGATTTTCCATGGAGCACATCTGAGGATCATTTGAGATGATAAAATTGATCGACCAGGAACGAATTCCCAACATGTCAGAAAATAATTTACAGGGATAGCAGATCTGTCTCCCAGTGTTTCTCCTTCTGTTTGTCTGTCTGTCCCAGTCTCTCCTCCTCATCTCTCCCCCTGCCCCCGTCTCTGGATCTAAGATACTGTGGGAAAGTCTAATATGTCATATTTACAGGCTGACTTCCTGTCCAAATTCAAGAAAAGGAATTATCTCAACTATGTGCTCTGCCTCATCTTGAACACCCTGCTCCCGCCATTCTGTCTGGGAAAATGAACATTCTTCTAAATTTGAGTGAACTTTTAGTTGATTTGCTCACCGCCACCGTGGGTGTTGTGCTGGGCCTGGCATGTGTCTGAATGTATAATGGATGAGGTGCTGACCTGACCCCGGGGTCGTGACCAAGTCGTCAAAGGGCAAAAGGTCAGAGTGAACCAAGAGGGTGTCGTTCCCACACTGGGAACCACTTCCTAGACTGGTTCCTATGACAGTGGTTCTCTGGGACTGGACGCATCTATTATGTTGACTGTCACTACAGGTGCGCTCTGATTGTATGGAAAAAGTTTGCAATTAGCCAATAGCGTTGCTGGGATTTCCATTCTGTTGTGAAATTACAAAATACCTTATTAATGCACGTCAATGGCTGCAGAAATATTACCTAATTAGAGGAATTATGCAGTTTATGAAGAAGTGGAGAAGGAAGCAGGCATCTACTCATGGACAAGAGGCTCTTACTCATGATAGTGCAAGATGAAGTATAATGTCAGCTAGCTTGTCTCGTGTGGTTCAGTTGAAAGAAAATAGTTCCTACATAAAATTGCTCACAACAAGGTCTGTGGATTATCTTGAGTAACTGGGTCATGATTTCACATTGTTGAGTTTTCCAAAAAAAAAATTTGGCGCTTTGAGCACTACAAGCTGAGTACCATCTAGTTCCGTTATACTGGAGAGAAGGCAGACATCTGTAGAGCCAACACTTGGTAACTCACACCAAAACAACAAACAATCTAGACTGATAAATACCACTACAGGAAAGAGGAAAAATATGTATTTTTGATTTTGAGGTGAACTGTCCCTTTAAACACCACAAAATTATCAGCTTGAAGATAAATGCACTGAGGACAAAATGCCTTTAAGTGAGTCTCTTAAACACAGTTTTGATAATCAACAATTGATTTAAGTGCAAGGATGAAAGTAGAATCTAAAAGTAGAAATAACATATTGTTTCTTTTACACATGAAAAGTTGAATTCATGAGCAGTAAAACACAACTGTGTTCAGTTTGATACACTCAAGCATTTTGCCACTACAGCTTTACCTGGTCTTGTCTTAGCAGTAGCTTATGTTAGCTAATGTTAGCTATCTTTAGGTAAATACTACTATATTACAGACGTTACTGAGCCAGTTAACTCACTTTATAACTGTTCTCCACCTTTGCTACTGTCATAGTACAATTTAGCATACATGGAGTTAAATAGTCCTGCTTTAATTCATTTATCAAGTAGACATTGTCTAGCATTTCAAATGTGCATTTTCTCTGTGTTGTATCATGTAAATTGAATATCATTGGGTTTTGGAGTGCTGGTTGGACAAAAAGTAATTTGAAGATATCCCCATGGGGATCGGGAAAGCTGATATAACCATTTTCTACATTTTCATTTTCTTTTTCAGACTAAACAACTGATCGAGCAGATTAATCAATAATGGAAATAATCAGCAGTTACAGCCCTATTTGAGTGTTTGGTGTAAAAACACTTTGACATTATATAGCTATGATTTAAAAAAAGAACTGGGATGAAAACAATGATCCACTCCACATCCAGCATTGTACTGAAGTAGTGTAATTTTTTGGCCTGAGATGACTGATTGCCTGGACAGAAGCTTCCATCCTGGACTTTTAAAAGCATTTCTTGCGTTGCGTCTGGCAGGCCGATGTTAATTTGTGAACAGGATGGAGCGGAGAGACGGGAGAGGCAGTGACAGCTGTGCTGTTAAAGTGCTGAAGGCCAGCTGTCAGAGGGGCTGATCTGCACAAGCAGGCGTGTGCAGGAATCCAAAAGAGTCACAGCTGAATCTGACTTTGTTACTGTACACAGTGATCCACACGCAGACACAGAACCAGGGACACACGAGTAAAAACACAGTACAAGGCAGGGGACAAGTGACCTGAATTCAATAGGTATAAAATCTGGACAAAGTGTCACCAATAATCAGGTCACATGACCTGATCACATGATTGTGTTACGGATGGAAAAAAAAAGTATTGTAGTGTAGTGTTACACAGGCGGAGTTCATGGTGATGTTCATAAAACCAGTGAGCTGCTACGTCATTGTAGGATAGTGTACACTGATCCAAGAGAAAGTAAAACAACGTAAATCTTGGTGGTACGGTTGCTGATTGTCATTTGACCCTACGTATTTCACTTGCATGTCTGTAGCATGACCCAGAGGATTAGGCAGGGAGTTTGCTGAGGCTTCTTGTTTGTGTGTGTGTGTGTGTGTGTGTGTGTGTGTGCTGGGGGGTGGTATAGTCTGCTGCAGTCAGTGTGCTCCACAGGCCTGCATCCCAACAGGTGCTGAGCTTGTTGGGCTCTGATGGTGAATGGGCTCTTTGTTGCAGAGGATTCACCCTCAGAGAGAGGCCAGAGCTAGCAGACGCACACACACATATACACACATATACACACACACACACACACACACACACACACACACACACACACACACACACGCATACTGACACTGACACATTTATCAGCTGAGGGTGTTGTGTGCGTGCGGGTGTGTTTGTTTTGTCAAAGGTCCGTCTCTGCCATGATTCCTACAGCGTCTTGCACTTGCATCTCACTTTAGACATGTCACTGTGTTGCAAAGTAATCAAGTCCCTTTACCCGTGAGCTTAAATACAATTTCAAGGTTCCTGAACTATACTTGAGTATTTCCCTTTTCTTGCTTCTGCATGCTTGCACTATGTTTAAGAGGGACATATTGTGGCTTTTACTCCACTACATGTATTTGACAGTTATCAATATTAGTAACTTTAACAATAAGCTTCCAAAGTGTATATAAAGTAGGTCAAATTAGCTCCACTACACATAGGCCTACAACAATAACATTTTGTTTGTTACTGTATCACTAATAATAATCAAATAATACAATATATAACAGGCCATTGAGCAAAATGGGTAATTTTATTTTATTCTTAAGTACATTTCACTGATAATACTATTGAATGCAGGACTTTTGCTTGTAATGGAGTGTTTTTACATCATTGGCACTGCTAATTTTACTCAAGTGAAAGAAAGTACTACTGATGTTCACTATGTTAGCATCCTAACATTTCCTAGCTATCCCTAAACATAAAGTACAGCTGAGGCCGAAACCTGAGCATGTTTGTTTGATATAAATTGTTTAAATGAATTGGAAATTATTAGATTAGTCCTGAGGATTTGAATATGTGCTACCTTTTCACCTTTAGGTATGAAATGTTGGAACTATATGAATTTTAGTTCAGCACCACAAAGAATTACCGAGACAGCACATCCTCTCAATGACCCAAATTCCACAGTCACAGTTTGTTTGCATTCCAGTTTTAATACAAATATCTTGAGTTTACCAGGGTCGAAACCTGTGTTGTGCATCGCATTAAACTGTCAGATGGCTTTAATGTTGCACCTCTGTTAGTCACAATTTTGTAGACTGACAAGATGCGGGTAGATTTTACGAAACATGAAAAGGTCAACATAATTACACACTTTCAACACAATATTTTCACTTGTCATTCATCTAAACACACATATTTCTCAAGAGAACTGAAAAGATCAATTTTCCTCTGTGTAGCTACACAATCTGTCAAACCACATGCTGCTGGCTGTGTGAATGCAGCTCTGCCGAGTGGTTTTGGTGTGACAGGTTTTATCATTAACAGCTTGTTTCTCATGACATTGAAACAAAGGAAGCTACCACACATTGGTGTTTGTGGTCATTGCATGTAGCTCAGTCTGATTTAGATTTGCACATAGAGAAAAGAGAAGGGCAGTTTCTATGTGCTGCACAAATGATAATGAAGAATGCCCTCACATGTGGCAGCGACTTCATAGGGAAACATGCAAAGGGTATCTACGCATAATAATCACTGATCATTCTTTGAGTTGCTAAGTACCAATCAGATTTGAAATATGTCGAGGAAAATTCAGTTTCATTTGCAAGTCAATGTATTTTTGGAGTGATGAGATTGGATGCTTGCAAGCCTGCAAGAGGAAGAAGAAATTTGTTTTTCATATACCTCAATGCAGAAAGCCCAAATAGGAAGTGAAAATACAGAGCGAAGGAATATGTCACATTCAGAACAAAAATAGCACTACTCAGTTTTGTTGTTGTTTCACAATTCCTGTAACAAGACGGGAAAGAATGACGTTGCAACAACTATTTATGTTAATTGTGATTAAGAAAATTACTGTTCAGTTGTTCCTTTTTGAATCTGATGACTACCCAGACTTGCAACTTGCAGCAACATTTTGCAAAAGGAAATGGTGTAATAGGCCTACGGCAGCAAAAGGAGAAATACATTACATTCAGTTTCAAGTAAAAACGTCCATCTAAATGTAGATTTTTACTTTGCAAATTACCACAAAGAAAATTACCGAGGAACTGCTGCAAATGGAGGTTGTCTTTGTGTCTAGTATCTTACTTTTGTCATTTAAAATGTGCCACCCACAGGCATGTTTAACCTCCTAATCCTTATTTCCATTTTCTCTGTCATTTTTTTTAGAACAAACTTGCGAAGGCTCTGTATGACAACACTGCGGAGTGTGCAGATGAGCTGGCTTTCAGAAAAGGGGACATCGTCATGGTGATTGATAAGAATGTGGCCGGCACCAGCGGATGGTGGATGTGTTCTCTTTATGGACGGCATGGTCTGGCCCCTGCAAACAGACTGCAACTTCTACCACAAACTGGAACCACTGCGGGCTCATTAAGCCATGACACAGAAAAACCCAAATTAACTAATTCTGTAACCGATGACAGTGCACAAAATATCTACCAGATCCCGAGTGTGCCCCGACCCTCCAGCAGCCCGGCTTATGAACGCATGGACATGATTTACAAGGTCCCGCATACTCCTTTATCAGCTTCAAAAATTCCAGTCCCGCCAGCACAAAGGCACAGCACAGAAGGACCCGAGGGAAACAAGGTACATATTGTTTTTTCTACAAGTACTGGATGTATGGAGAGAAGAGCAACAACCTAAATGTAGTTGTTAGTCTGTCTATTTCTCTGGGGTCAAAGTTGGTCCTTTTCCTTGGGAAGTGTTCACCCTCATGATTAGAGAGGTAGACTGCTGCAGAAATGCAATGCTGTGAAACCCCTGCTGGCAAAAGAGCTTACAGATGGGGACCAGGGGCCTCTCCATGGGACAGGCATGCAGCACCGGGGTCTTTATGGGCCTATAAAAGACCAACAGACACAGACTTCAGACACTTTTTAACTGCAAACAGCAGCTAATGCCGCCAGGGACCCCAGAAAGATAGAAGTGTCTGTACGGGTGCCTGTGCGGCAGAAGGTAGGGTGAAATAAACCCACATGTTCACCATTTCCTCTCCTGCTCCAGGGGCGTCCTGTTCCCCTCTGCAGTAGCCACCTAACATTCAATGAGTAGCATGGTTTCTATTAGAGAGCTGCGTTAATTGGCAGAGTGCTTGCATAATGGGGTTCTTCTGCAACCTCAACAGGCTTCAGAGCAAACACTGTCCCCATAAATGTGTTGATGCAGAGGTCAATGAGGTAGATGCAGCTTTGATCAAAGCAATGCAGGTGTTAACTAGTCAACCCTGATATTACAGTCTATTTATCTTGTCTGCAGCCTTTATTCAGCACGGTGTCCAGTCCAAAAAAGGAAGTTTACGATGTCCCGATCCAAGCAAGACGAGGTTCTCTTTAAACTGTAAGTTCCTGAAAATATACACGAAGTACACTGAATGTAGTGAGTGGAGTATTTGTAGATATCCTGCCACTTCAGTAGGTACTAATCTGATGTCTTTGCTGTTACTGTGATGTTCAATTAGCAGGCATCAACGACTCCAAGACAAGTGCCACGAAAAAACTCACTGATTGCAATTTCTGAACTGGAAAAAAGATTTGACTCTCTGGAGGGTTTAAGGTGTAGCAGTCCAGGAGACACTTACGTAAGTTTCAGACATTTAGAGGGATTTAAAAAGCAAGGAACCTTTGATGTGCTCACTTTTAAATGTAGTCTAAAGGCTTTTTGCATAACTCTGATATTAACAACTCTGTTCTTGTGCACAGGTGTATGCAGTTCCACCACCTTTGCCTCAGGACCCAAACTATGACATCCCTGTTCCCTCGACCTTGGAAGCCCAACAGAAAGTGACAGGTGGATACAGCACTCTCCCTCACCCCCGCAAGCCTGAGTGGATTTATGATGTGCCAGTGGGTCCTGAGAAACAAAGTCCATCCAAAGGCTCCTATGATACCATGCCCTCAAAAGCCATTTGCAGAGAACTCTATGACACTCTTCCAGCACGTGCTTGGCCCGTTCAAAAAGGCAGTCCATGTCCCTCGCTTTATGATATACCAAAGCCTAGTTCTCTTGAAACGCCGAGTCCACCCAAAGTGCTGCCAAGGGTCCCACTTTATGACAAGCCCCCAACTCAGAGGCACACAGAGGAGTTGGTATATGCGGTTCCTCCCAAGGAGGAACCCCTCTCTCAAGTTCTCAGTGGTCCCTCCAGTGATCATATACCCCTAGAGTGCAGAGGCGACTCGAGCAAAGCTCATGAACTCAAAAGAGTGCGTCTGCAGCGAATGAGGAACTTCCTGGCCTGTACGTCTTTCCAGGACCTTCCTGGAAGCGGGGAGCCACTGGTGCATGATGACGAGGAACGAGGTAAAACTCTGCGCTTGTCTGCAGCAGACAGTCAAAGAATCAGCACGGCCTCCAGCTCTTCCACAAGCTCCTGTGACTCTCTGGCTCTGAGCTCATCCTCTCCTGAGCCTTTGCGAGAAGTGACACTCAGCCAGGATGAGGCTTGCCGCAAACTTCTGGACCTGCAGGAATCTGTTTGCAAGGCCGTGCCCCGTCTCATGGAGTTTGTCAGCAGTCACTGGAGGAGCAAAGAACATCTAGAGAAACACCTGAAGGAGATCAAAGAAGCAGCTGAGGGGATTGCATGTTCTCTGACGTGCTTCCTAAACTTTGCCCTGGACGTTAAGGGCAATGCCCGCCGTTTGACTGATGCCAACCTTCAGACGAGGCTCTATAAACAGCTGTCCATTGTAGAAGACTCAGGTGTAATCCTACAACAAACAGTAAGTGCTCTGAACATGGCTGGCTGGCCCCTCAACACACTCTCTCAGGACCCTGGGCAGGCCCAGACACCTGACCAACTTGAGCGCTTTGTTATGGTGGCACGAACTGTTCCAGAGGACATCAAGCGCCTGGTGTCCATCATCAATGCCAATGGCAAGCTTCTGTTCAAAGCCCATCTGAAAGGTCAGACAGAGACAAAGAGAGGTCTTGATGGAAGTGAGCAAGGAGAGGACTTAGTGGAGGATGACAACGACTATGTAGAGCTACAGGTGAAAGCTTTGCACTATGGTAACTGAATGCCCAAAGCATATGTAATAATGTACCTTGCATATTAATTCATCTGCTTTTTACTTTTCCTCAGACTAAGAACGATTTTGAAAGGCAGCGGATGGAAGTGCAAAAGGAGCCAAAAGAAAATGTCACATCAGTCTCTAAGAAGGCACATGTAAGTATCTCCCATTAACATAAGGGATTTGGTCCTACTTAATGAGCACACCTTTGCCTCTAAGAAAATTCGGTTTTTATATATCCATCTACAAAGTTGCCATCCAAGATATAAGACTTTCCACGTAGTCAGAAAAAGACAGGAAACACTGTAGTCTGGAAGACATATTATGTGTCCATCTTCACCTTTCTTTGTTCTATTTCTCCACTGTTTAGGTGGATAACAAGCGTCACTCCTCTGAGTCCAGCAGTGGCACAGAAGAACATCTCCCACCCTCCCTGTCAGAGCACTGCCGGCTTTACTTTGGCGCCCTCCAGAAGGCCATTGGGGGATTTGTGGGCAGCCTCCAGGCTGGCCAGCCACCAGAGAGATTCATCTCACAAAGCAAGCTGGTGATCATGGTGGGCCAGAGACTGGTGGACACCCTGTGCAAGGAGGCCCACTCTGGAGGGTCCACCCAAAGCCTTCTGTCTATGAGCAACCACCTGTGTGCTCTCCTGAAGCAGCTGGCTGTGGCCACCAAGAAGGCAGCACTGCATTTCCCAGATAGGCAAGCTCTGCAAGAGGCTGAGGAGTTTGCAGTGGAACTGGCCCAAAGAGCACAGCACTTTCGGAAATCACTTGACCTCTGAGCACTCACATATAAAACATATTGATTTATTTGTACAGCAAGACATGGGTGTATTCATCATCAGATTCCTTTTTCATTAATGTCATATTCAGCTTCATTCAAGCTTCACTTGCCAAAAAGATCATTGCTTTCTGCTGAATGTTGTTATCATAATGAATGCAGGTACTGGTTTAAATGTTAATAATGTTAGAAAAAGTCGCTTGGATGAACAGAACGATTGAAGTCTTATTTGTACTAGAATAATAAACTTCACCATTGTGGAGTTCCAAAGTAAATTGCACATTTAGGATACTCAAGTCAATATTAAAATGCAATTAAAATATGAAGTATAAAATAATTTGTTTTATATAATTTACAACAATGTTATATTCTCCTAATATTGTTTGGTAAGTGGATGTTTTATGTATTTTATTACTTTATTATGTAAGAGATATACTCTCCAGGGTAGTAGTTTGATAGTCTACTTTTTATGAATATCTATGTAAATATTCTAAAAAATGTGTAATGCATTCCCAAACAGCAATTAAAAACTGAAAACTCAAATTATGTTGATGTCTGTCTGAAGCATACATAAATGTTAGTGACCTCTGTAGAAAGGATATTTACATAGCCATTTCATTAAAGAGCATTTCACACAGAAAGGTCACTTTACTAGAGTACTGGAGAATACTGCTCAGTTCATCTGATTATGCTATCATGGTTATCTCAGCTTGAGCCTGGAGTCTACAAAGTTCTAATAGAAAGCCTGCATCACAAATTGGGTGTGTAAAGTTGGAAAGACATGGCATTGAGGCACTGAGGGTTTAAAAGATGCTGTTAGTTGCATTATGGGAAATGTAGGACCCGTTTTCAGTGTGTGTTTTTTGTATCTTAACCCATACTAGGGACTCAAGGTCAGGATATCTTGGCCTCTGCTGCTTCAATTTTGTCTGTTGTTATTTTTTTTGTCTCTTGGGAGTTCCTCAATTTTATGAAAGTGCAAATAACTGAAATTTAAATGTGTGATACGTTAATACTAATCGCAGCAGAAATAATCTTTTCCTCTGTACCACCTCTCAGGGAAGGTCAGAGGTCAGTGTCATTACAGAACAGGAACCCATTGGTTTGTGGAGCTTCAGTGTCTTGCTTAACCCTCTACTGCAGAGATACTCAAATTGCTTTGCCCAGGGGCCACTTCTGCAAAATGACAGGCGGCAAAGGGCCTGTTGCAGAAGGCCTGTGCAGGTCAGGTTTACGCAAGGGCGTTTCTAGGTTTTGGGGACATTCAGGGCTTAGCCCGGACCTCTGTTATGGGTCAGGGGGAGCCAACAAGCTCTATTTTGATGCTTTTTATGCAACCTGGCACCTTATTCATATTAAAAGTGCAAAGAAAATTCTAATTGTGCATCAACCTATTTTTATTGTGAATTAGAAAATGGCTGGAGGGCCACATGGCACCCTGTCCCTGGCCAGATTTGGCCCACAGGCCACTAGTTGAGTATTACTGCTCTACTGTAGCCTATACAGTTTTGTCTACAGTTCACCTTTTTACATCAGTCATGGCATACCAGCACTATGTGGTCATTTACCTTTAGACTGCTAGTAGTATGAAGTTGTGATATATCCACAGATTGCACTCTTCAAAAATTAAGTCTCATCATAAAAAATAATCCTGAAGGCATGCAATATTCCAGCATAGGAATACTGAACACAATGCACAGAGAATACAGGCCCAGCAGCTCATTTTGCCCCAATGCCCCCTAAAAGATTAATGAAAGGATCCTAAAACTTAACAGCATGCGATAGTAAGGTGCTGTAAAAAGCATTTTATTGGGGCTTTATATCAATAAGATATACAGGAATGTCCAAATTAATTAAATGGGGCAAAGGTCAGTCACTCTGTAAATGTATCTTAAGCAGAGGATGTGAGTGTATGCCCTCTGCTGTGCACTTTATGTGTTGATGTCTGGCCCCATTACCCCATCCTAAAAGTCATAGACATGTGATTGAGTATTTGAAGGGAAGGGGTGACAAACAATGAGTATGAGAGTCAGAAAAGGTTTTGTTAGATGTAAGTAAGCAGGATAAACACTTCAGTAGGTTGGGCTCTTCATTGAGGCTTGAGTGTGCTTCCTTAATTAAAGGTAAGTAGCTCTGTGTCTCCGTTCGATCACTTTACTAGCTGTGATGTTGAGAAAACAAAGTTTGCAAAAAAAAAGAAAAGGAGAAGTCAGTCACTGACAGACTGCTGCACACACAAGCAGTTTCTAACTGTATGCTGCCCTCTAGCAGTACTGTGTGCACATGACTTTATTCCCATGTTTTGCTGCTTTTTCAGGCTGGAGGAAATTTTGAATATCTACACAACAGTTACTTCATGACTAATGATTTCATGAATTGTTAATGTATCTATTTTTACATCACATTATTTAGGTATCTGCTTCTCGTAATTTCAAATATTATGAAGGTAGCTGTAGTTCTAAAACAAAAATCTAAATGTTCTGGACTAACACGTGATGAGAGAAAAATTCCAGGAAACTATTCCGGTCTAAACAACTGGTCCATGAGTGCTTTAATAAATGTCAGTAGAAAAATCTGTCATACTTACCTGTAATAAAAAAACATTCTGAGGTAACAGCAGACATATTACTTTATTCATAAAGAGTAGAGGAGCCTCCGGGTCTGCTGAGGAGGCCCTGATTGGCCGACTCTACTCCTACAAACTTTTGAATATGCAAAATGTCAGTCACTTTTAGGTTTGATGATGTAATACACCCTAAACTCTTGCTACAACAGGTGAGGAAATTACCACCTTTGTGATTGATTGGTTGGTTCCATTGAAAGATCTTGGGATAAACCTGTGTCCTCTCCACAAATCAGGAAACAAAACCCTCAAGCCCAAAGCTCCAAACTTGTCAAGATAGTTAACATCCAACCTTTGGAAACCCCAGTTCTGCTGGCTGTAACATTGTATAGCTTATGAAACGTTGTTAAAGACTTAGCCTATTAACCATATTTTCCACAACAACAAGGGTGACACCATTGTGTTCAATTTGCCCTCCCACATCCCGCTAAGAGGACCTAAGCTAGTTAGCCACAAACAATCAAGGAAAGCTACGATGTCAAGTTTAATACTTTATGATTAGTGGGGGAGGTTTCATGATAATTGGATACAGAGGAGAGAGCAATTGCAGCAACCATGTCATGGCAATAAAGTGAGGAGGTCAGAATGTTGTGGGACATTTTACAACCTGCACCTACCTCCTAAAGATGAAAAGCACTTGAGGCTACCAAGAGCCCAGGCACCCATGTTTCTTTCCATTTCTAAGACAGTACGGAAGCAGAATCAGGATCAGCTTTATTGGCTTTGTTTAATTTATTGTTGGCTAGAAATAACTCAGCTATGATGCTCCATTAAACAAGTCATCTTGGGAGGTTGTAAAAATTCCAGTAAGATAGCTAACTATGAGTTCAATTGCTTGCTCGAGACACAACATTCAAACTTGGCCCCTCCTCCCTGGTTCAATGCCACCAGAAGCGTCTGTGCACCGCTTGTGCGTACACTGCAAACTGCCATTGTAGGAATGTTGTTATAATGGAAAAGCTGATACCCAAGCAAGATATCGAAGCTAACCACCAGTAACCAGCAGCAGCCCAATGGCTGACGCCCAGAGACTCGAGAGGGATTACTTTTGTATGACTCATTTATTTATCATTCATTATTCATTTAGGGCAGTTAGAGTTTAGAGTCCTCAGTTAACCTAACCTGCATGTGTTTGGACTGTAGGAGGAAGCTGGAGTACCCTGAGAAAACCCATGCTGTTACAGGAAGAACATGCAAACCGCACACAGAAGGGCACCAGCCGGCCAGCGAATTCAAACCCTTTTGCTGTAGGGACACAGTGCAAACCAATGCACCACCATGCTGCCCTTTATGACTCTATATTGTTTATTTTTTTTAGGAAATCGTACATAGTATACCTTTAACTAATGCTCAAGAAATGTGTGCTCTGAATACATTTGTGCCAAACTGCAGCTGAACAGGCTTTATATTCAGCAATTGTAATAATTCAATAATTGTATTGAGTTAGCAAGAGCCACAGCGCCAGAGGTTAAGGGACATTTTACTTTACGTTGTGAGTCTTGGCGAAAGGCATCACAGTGGTCTGAGTGATGGAAGTATGAATAGGCCCACAACAGGAAACTGCTGTTTTTAAAAACAGTTTGAAATATTTGAATGAATGTGATTCTCACATTGGACTCAATTCTATAGAGAATTAAAAAGTGAAAATAAACTTTTCCCCATTTTCCTGGGGACCCTGTGGAACTCCCTCAAGGACCTCAGGAGGTCCCTAGACCCCGAGTTGAAAACCAGTGGGTTACCTAATCGACAAAGCAATAATCTTTCTTTTTGTATAGAAAAGTAAAGTGTTGTCTCTGACCTGGCAAAGCCGTGTTTCTGCAAAGGTTTTAGCTTTATCTGAGTGAAATCAACAGCGGAAATAAGCAGCAGCGAACTCTCTTGGTTTCCTCGCGTGCCTCTGTACGTGCCCTGTGCGTCATGTCGTCACGTACCCCGCTCTCTCTCCCTCTCACTCCGGACAGATTCACAACCTCAGCCATGGCTCCGTGAACCAACACATGGCAGCCTGCAGCCATGAACCAAAAACTGACGATGCTTAAATAGCAGCCTTAATTAGTTTCTTTCGAAATTATTTCAACTCCTGCAATATCTACAGCCACCGGTCGGCTGTCAGTCACTGTCGGGGGGAGAGGAGCACAGCACCCCCTTCGGTTTAATTTCCTCCGACATCTCGCTTTGAAGTTTCCGTCTCCTCTATCAGAAGCTCAACATGGGGGTTCAGGGTTTCCAAGAGTACATTGAAAAGCATTGCCCCAGTGCCGTGGTGCCGGTGGAGCTCCAGAAACTTGCCCGGGGGAGTATGGTTGGAGGTGGCCGGCAGAGACCACCTCAAAGTCCGCTGAGACTGCTGGTGGACGCGGAGAACTGCCTCCACCGGCTCTACGGAGGCTTCTACACCGACTGGGTCAGCGGGGGCCAGTGGAACCACATGCTGGGCTACCTGGCTGCCCTCTCCAAGGCCTGCTTCAACGGTAACATTGAGCTCCTGGTGTGCTTCAATGGCGCCCTGGAGAAAGGCCGTCTTCATGAGTGGGTCAAGCGGCAGGTGAACGAGAGGCAGACCGCCCAGCAGATCATCAGCCACGTCCAGAACAAGGGGACCCCTCCGCCTAAAGTCTGGTTCCTTCCTCCCGTGTGCATGGCCCACTGCATCCGACTGGCGCTCCTCAGGTTCCGCGTCGGGGTGAGTTGAAACTCGGCCTGGCGATGCCTGTTGAGCAGAGCCACTGAGGACTACCGGCGGGCACACATTAGCAGGCTGTGTGGTTAGCCTGCTAGCTGCCCACCATGTCATCTCTGCCAACTTCACCCATGATAGAAGCTGTGTGCACCCTCGGCCAAGTGTGCCTCTAGGAGTGCTGGCAAAGGAGTCCGTGGTCTGCTTTTTAATACTTAATACTCATTGTGATTTTGTGACATTACCTCAGACTATGAATTCATGCGATCAACATTGTGAAAGGGTTTGATCATTAATCAAAGGCCAGGTGTTTGCTTTAAGTCCCAGCACAGCCTAAACAACAGACTTACTGAGCTGTCCCACTCTTGGAGGGCCAGAAAGAGAAGCTATGAGAAGAAACCAGCCCCCTCTGGAACATACAACAGTACTAATAATGCTAAAATCATATTGATTGTCAACCATATCTGTCATTATTAAACATTTAAGTAATTGTTTTAAACAGAAATGCCCCAAATTCACTGCTCCAAACCTTATCAATATTTTTGTCTTAGCCTCCTACGATCATGACTAGATTATGGAACAATGGGCCCCTGGGCACAGATATGTGAGAGGCCCCACCACCTATCATACCTAGGAGCAAGGCAAACATATTTTGTTATGGTTTTGCCTCTTTTTTATAGTTGTTATGCATCTTTTGGTGGTTTTGTGTCTCCTTGTAGTCGATTTGTGCCTCTTTGTGGTTGTTGTTCCCCTTTAACTTCGTATCTCTTTGTAGTTCCTTTGCATGTCTTCGTGGCCATTTTGAGTCTCCTCCTGGTCTGTACATGATAATTTAAGTGACCTTTTGCAGGGGAAGGCCAGGGAGCCCCCTGACACTTATCCTGTGCCCAGTAGGCCTGTTCAGTAATCCATTCATGGCTATCAAATTGAATTAACTGCTGTATCTCTGGGCTGGTCGGCGAAACACTTTAAAACGTCTTTAAAACGTCCCTTTAGCTTTGAGAAATTGTGACGGACATCTTTCACTATTTTCTGATATTTTACAGACCTAAATGATGAGTGGAGAATACAACCAACAGATTAATTGATATTACAAATAGTGAGTTACAGCCCCTTTATATGTGACTTCTGCAGGAACACTACAAAGTGCAGAAACGCTCACATATTTGACTGAAGTATCTAATATACTAAAGCATGTAAAAAAAAAAAAAAACTGAAAAGCTACTCCTCACTCTGCATGCAGCAATGTAGAACTGTTAGCACACATATGAAATGGTTTACAGGGCAAAGATTTGTTTGCATGTAAAAATTAAGGATGCTCTGATATATCATATTGGTATAGAGGTAATACTGACCTTATTCAGTGGATTGGATATTGGGCAGATGCCTGATCCACAAACAGGTACCAACTGATCCTCACTAAATACAATTTTAAAATCAATATTATTTAAAGGTCCAGTGTGTAAGATTTAGAGGGATTTAGTGGCATCTAGTGGTGAGGATTGCAGATTGCAACCAGTCGAAACTTCACCCGGTTAAACTTCCCTCGGTGTTGTGTGTTCAGGAGGTTTTCACTGTGAGCCTAATTACCCGCAGAGGTCACTTTCTCTCCAAAACAAACAGACTAGGTGATTCAAACCTGTAAAAAGCACTACATTAAGCAGTTTCAAGTTAACAAAAATTTGTATTTTTCCATCATCGCTTGCTGCGGATGTGCTGCTAACAATGAGATGTAAAAATGTGAATGGCCCTATCTGGAGCCAGTCTTTCGTTTGTCTGTTCTGAGCTACTGTAGAAACATGGTGGTGCAACATGACGATCTTCGTAGATATAAACGGCTCAGTCTAAAGTGACGAAAACACAAGTTTTATTTTCAGGTGATTATACACCAGAGAAAACATACTTTCTATAATATTCCATTCCTGCCAATGAATCTCCCTAAATCCTGCACACTGGACCTTTTAAATGTCGTGTTGTTTCCTCACATAAAAATGATCCCAGTAAGTTCCATGCAGTGTGGTATACATATTTTGTATTTGTGATTATCTTAGTGGAGGTATTGTGAAAAAAGTTGGATCCTTGCAAATATTGTTGTGACAATGCAGTGACATGTTATATGGTCAGTTCTATATATGGTGTCAGTATTCATATAATGCTGTTTTAAGATCAGTTTCTCTCATATACTCTTGATGACATTTTAGAAGTATAGCCTATTATTTGTCTCTCCTTCTTTGAGTATCCCATCAGCTGTGTAAGGCTTATCCACTAAGAGCAGCTCAAACAAAACTGCACCTGTTTGTAATCCTTTTTCTGTAGCCTTTTCTCAAGTACCTAATACACCATGTCTATGTAAGCGGTTTATTTTGAGGCTTAACCATCTAAAGCTTAACTTGTCTTCGCCAATCCTCAGGTTGTCCAGAGCATCGAAGACCACCACCTGGAAGTGATATCTTTATGCAGGGAGAATGGCTTCCACGGCCTGGTGGCCTACGACTCGGACTACGCTCTGTGCAACATCCCATACTACTTCAGTGCCCACGCCCTCAAACTGAGCCGCAACGGCAAAAGCCTCACCACCAGCCAGTACCTGATGCACGAAGTGGCTCGGCAGCTTGATCTCAACCCAAATCGTTTTGTCATTTTTGCATCACTTTTAGGTTGGTGTGATACTATGTGGCAGAATGTAGTTGGAAGTGATAGTCTAAACAACGCTGACTAACCCGACTCGGTTCTTGTGTGTTTGATAGGAAATCACATACTGCCTGATGAAGACTTGGCTGCCTTTCACTGGAGCTTACTTGGTCCAGAGCATCCATTAGCATCTTTGAAGGTAAAGATCTAAAGGATTTCTTTATAATCACACGGCTGGTAATCCAGTCTGATAGAAGTGTACTGTGAGATTTTTAAGTGAATGACAGTTGGAGAGGAACATTCGGTTCAGCACGTACTGTGCTCGAATATTTTTGTGACAGGTGACTGCGTTGCTCCTGCAGTTTGCCTCCTGAATGAATGGATTTCTCAGAAAAGTAAAAAAGAAAGTACAAAAGTGTTAAAAAAGAAAACTAATTTTACACACCCACAAAGCAGTATTTCCCACGCTATAAGATTCAGGTTTTCGCTATTCTATTTCCTCTGTTCGCATTGTGTTGAGCTCTCAAGGCCTTCATACTTTTTACAGCTTAATGTCTGCATTAGAGAACAGCAGCAATGGTTATGCTTGTGGTGCTGCAATAGCAGGTGTCGATGGTTAATGTGAAGGTCTCCTTGTGGAATATGACTCGGCCTGAAAAGATTTTTTAGTTGGAACATTTGTTTTCGCTTCAACTCCTGCAACCAAAACAGTTTTAGCTTTGGCAGAAATGTCTGTGTTCGCGTAACAGCCCATCACTCAAAGTAAAAAGTTAGTGACAAAAAAGCCTGTTAGGGTCTTTAAAAAAATAGTAAAAACTCGATTTCATTACATCAGTTGAACATACAATGTGTAATTTTTTGCCTCTACGGGCCTTTTAGTCAAAGCGCTAACAAAAAATGGAGCAATGCTGTCATTGCAGTCAATTTCCAGTTGTTAGGGTTCCTTCAGTGGTCAACATTCAGGAGGTTTATACGGGGGCTGAATTATTCGCAGCGGTCACTTCCTCTCCAAAACTGTTGGACCATTTGATGAAAACCGGTATAAACGCTGAATAAAGCAGTTTCACGTTAAAAATCTGTGTTTGTTGTTCAGCTCATTGCGAAGGGGCCGCTAACCAAGCACCAAGCTAATGTGTGCTCACGTTTTTTTCTCTGATAATTTAAGATCCAGATGTTCAGGAGTTTTTTATTGGGAGCCAAATTATTCTCAGAGGTCTCTTCCTCTCCAAAACAAATGGAACGGGTGATTTAAACTGGTAAAAACACTGAACAAAGCAGTTTCATGTTACAAATCAGGACTTGTCTGACTCTGTTTGGGATGGCAGGGGCTGGAGCTGAGCGGCCACTATTGTTTGCTCAGCTTGTTTCTCAGGTAACTTAAGAGTCAGATGTCCGTTGACTAAAATACTTCATTCAGTTACAACTTATAGTCAAAAATGACCAAGATCTATGAAGAGTGTCATAAAAATGAGTCTTAAAACTGAATAAAAAGTCAATTAATGAGAGCTTCTGGCAAACAACTACAATCATGATGCATGTATGTGATGTCACTGACAGGTGACAGCGACACAGTCTGTGTTCTTGATTAAAATGGCAAGAGTTTTCTCAGTTTGAACATTGTTTGAAATGTTCGAGATAATGTAGGTACACAAATCAACAAAAAATATTTCATTGATCTAGTCGTTTAAAGGCATTTATGTGGAAAAGCGTACATATTTTATCTTTAAGGAGGCTTATTTGGGCATGGACATGTTATCTTTTGTTTTCTTCAATGATCCCCATTAATTAAGCTTTGAACACAAACTTACTTTCATGGAAACTCTTTCGAGAAAAGCACTGAATTTAAGCTGCTGTATTGCCAAAGTTGTAAATAAAGAGAATGCTGTGAGCTCAACCACAAGCTGCCACCAAGCAGCACTTAGTGATTTGGCTAGATTTGCATGCGTGGCCAATGTGATACAGGTTACAGAAATAGGATATTCATGGATCAGTGAATGGTTAAGTCAAACAGTTGCATGACAACAGTGCCAGGCAGTTTTATGGCACAGTGTGTAAGTGGTTCAGCTGTTAGTTTTGAAATGACTAGCTGTGATTAAACAGAAGGCCATCTGGTTCACATGTGCAGCCCAACTCAAGCTGAACTACCCACCATACTGACACATTACATTCCACTGCTAAACTACACTCTGCAGGACTGACTTAACTGGTTTCTACTGTTATGTCTTTGCACCCATCAGTGGCACCCAGTCAGTCTGTCAAAAAGTAATAAAGATTAAAAAGGGGGGCTTTTAGGTTTCCCTAAGTCTCAAGTGTAACTGTCATATTAACTTTAAAACGGCAGGGGATTAAAAAACTAAATAACCAAAGGAATGTGAAAATGACTGCTGGTATATGTACAACAAGAATATATGAAAAGATATTTAAATAAATGCATATTCACATTTACATTACGCAAATCTCACCTTGCTTTGTCTGTATTCAATCTAGGACATACAGTCTCATCTTTAACAGAGAAAAATGATTTTTTATTGCATTTACACTGAAAATATTGTGAAACCAAGCTGCACTTTACATCATTTTCTGTCGTTTAGCCAACCACACCTGCCAAGTCAAGTGTGGCTTTAGATACTCTGCAACATCTGGAGAGTAACCGGAGGGCTGCAGAGAAAAGGAAACCGTTTATTTGAAATCATGGCTCACTGGCAGAAATGTGGTTTGGGCACTTAAAGACTCAGTGAGAAATGAAAAATACAATTTAAAAGTTCTTTTTCTGTCTCCCTGCATTAATTGTGGAGTTTTGTCTTATTAAATGCCAAACATATGTAAAAACGATCATTTATAAATATATTATATAAAAATCCCTTATTTTTGCTTCCTGTGCAACATTAAACACACAGTATAACATTTCTGCCACTTAAATTCAGCCAATGCAATTGCAGTGCTGGGCGTCTGATCTATGACCGTTCCAACTCTCAGTTGGATCAGCAAACTTTCTGTTGCTGCTGTTACACAGGTTAGACCCAGTACTGCTGTGACCCCTGGCGCTGAGGGTTGTGCTGGCTAAATTTGAGTTGCCACAGCCGAAGCTGGAGATTAGTTACACCTCTGCATCACACTGTACTCACTGAGCCAGGCCTACTTTTGAGTGGTCCATTCAAATGTTCGGGATTTGATTTAAATCTATTTCAGAAATGCGTCACATTACTGAAGATAAAGACATCTTCACTTACACTTTAAAGCTGTCTTGTGGAGTTTTCTTGTGTACATTCAGGGTACATACAAGTTGTTAAGTGTTAGGACATATTTTGGGCTGGTTCTGGTAAAAGTGACAGTCCCATTAATTTTTTTTGACTCTTAGAGTACTTACACTGCGCTTGGATAAACATAAAATTCTCACAGTTTAATCAACAGTATTTAAGATTAACAAGTACATTAGAAGATATGTTTCTTTGATAAAAAGCAGAGGTACACAAAGTTAACTCTCACTCCCAAAGTGCATTATGACATGAAACATCCACTCGCTGAGCTTAAAACTGTGTTGTTGTGCAGCTAATGGCAGGTGGAAGCTAAAGGTGAAGCTGTTGAGAGAGCTGATTTCACAATCTGCAGCTTAAGTGAATACACTTTTGAATTCTGGATCATTTTTGGATTCATTCAGTAGCCATGCCAAAGGTTTTTGATTTCACTACCGTCTAGTTCGTGCCTCAAAATGGCTTCTTCTTCAGGGCAGTATCGGCCAAGGCTCATGGGTGTTGTAGTATTTTTAGACCAATTTGCTAAACGCAGTTTTAAATGCCTTTTCAGAGGCTCATAAATGTGTGATGTAGATGATATTGGCAGGTCTAAAACTGTCTGCTAAAAGTTTCAGATGCATGGATAATGTGTTTTGTGATTATTAGCTTTGATCAAAGCTGTGACATATTTTCATGTTGTTCAACTAGCAGTGACATGTAACTGTCAGGTCAACACAGAACTGCTCTAGAGATTTACTGTATTTTCTGTTCACTTACTTATGATGTACCAGTGTGTGTGATGGGCCAAACTGTGATGTTGCGAGACACACTGACATCAAGAATTTTATTTGAATTTGTCCCCTCAAACTTGAGTGGTTGACCTGTCGTGAACTCTGTGTGTTATCCTTCTTTAGGTGCGTGCCCACCAGCTTGTGCTTCCACCCTGTGATGTTGTAATCAAGGCTGTGGCTGACTACGTCCGCAACATCCCAGACATCACCGACCTGGAGGCCATCGCTAAGGACATCTTCAAGCATTCACAAGTATGTAAGGTAGAGCAGTGCTGATGGGCCAGGGTGGCATTTACATTTATTGTAGTCTTCTTGAGAGACAGTGGATGTAATGCAGATTGATCACATACTTCTTGTTGAATGAAATTCACATTCAAACCATGTTGGTAGCAGTGAAGTATTAGATTCAACAAGGTGAGTGAACCCCATCACATCTGAGATGAGCTGTAATAGAACTCTGAATATGTATGTATATATATATATATATATATATGTATATACAGTACAGGCCAAAAGTTTGGACACACCTTCTCATTCAATGCGTTTTCTTTATTTTCATGACTATTTACATTGTAGATTCTCACTGAAGGCATCAAAACTATGAATGAACACATGTGGAGTTATGTACTTAACAAAAAAAGGTGAAATAACTGAAAACATGTTTTATATTCTAGTTTCTTCAAAATAGCCACCCTTTGCTCTGATTACTGCTTTGCACACTCTTGGCATTCTCTCCATGAGCTTCAAGAGGTAGTCACCTGAAATGGTTTCCACTTCACAGGTGTGCCTTATCAGGGTTAATTAGTGGAATTTCTTGCTTTATCAATGGGGTTGGGACCATCAGTTGTGTTGTGCAGAAGTCAGGTTAATACACAGCCGACAGCCCTGTTGGACAACTGTTAAAATTCATATTATGGCAAGAACCAATCAGCTAACTAAAGAAAAACAAGTGGCCATCATTACTTTAAGAAATGAAGGTCAGTCAGTTCGGAAAATTGCAAAAACTTTAAATCCAACCTCATATCATTTTATCTTTCCTTTCTTTCCCACTATGTAAAATTATTCTGCAGCGCTGTAAATGTGTATATATATACACACATACAGCGCTGCAGAATAATAACTATGTAAAATTATTCTGCAGCGCTGTAAATGTGTATATATGTATATATATATATATATATACACACATACAGCGCTGCAGAATAATTTTACATAGTGGGAAAGAAAGGAAAGATAAAATGATATGAGGTTGGATTTAAATTTAGGTTTAAAATTTTACGTGTTTTTTGAAGTACTGCCATGACACTTAATTTTGTGAAGACATCGATGAAATGATGATGATGGTGGTGGTGAATTTATGAAATTACACTTCAAAACTCTCATGACCCATACCTTCTTTGGCAGCCTCAGTTCATAATGTATACAGTTTGGCATAAAATACAAATTCAGCAATCCTCTATCCGCATCAGGACATTTTCAATTTTTTTAGTAGCTGCATTTTTGCTCCCTCAGCTATTTTAGTGAATTGTGGAAGTGAGAAATGTATTGCCACAGACTCCACACACAGCTTTACAAAGTGCTCCTCTGAAAAGAGGAAAAACTGATAACATGCCTGATCCCACCGTTCAGGGTATAATTATGCATTATATATTCCTCTATGGACAAATAATTAAGTTATCCTATGTCTGCTCTGTGTATATTCATCATATTTCATGTTTTTCTTTTAGACGTGCACTGATGACAAAGTCATCCGCTTCAAGAAGGCAGTGGAGTACTACTCAGTGGCCAGCAAACCCCCTCACTTCCCTCCACAGTTAGGTGGGTGCGCGTGTAATGATGCTAAAAGGTCTTAAGGTTGAATACTGTTGGTAGTGTTTGTCAGCAGCTTTGGTTTTTATATAGAGGCGCTGGAGGGTCTCAGATTTGTTGTCACTGACCTGGCTGGTATATGTGTTACATAAATGTTAGCGATAAGAAATAAAGACTTACCGTTTTGAGAAAAGAATGCTCCACTTTCTTCAAAAAGAGTACCTTAATGTGCCTTTAGACTGCCAGTTATGCCAATACAAATAGGCTACGGCAAATATAGCTTTACCACTTGTCAAACACAGATGTAAGTTATTTAATCATGGCTGCATTGTGGGTCAGAAGTGCCAGATGCTTTGTTAACATTATTAGGAACACCTGTGCTTTTCCTGCAGTGACAAGAGAAATGTGTGAATGTGACAAAAATGTCTGGACTCCCCTAAATATATGCAGACTGATAATGCAGAATTATCAGTTTGAGTTTTAGTCCTGTTTCTGTTCAAACTGGCTTTTTACGAACAAAACAAAAGAAGTAAACATAAATTTATGCAGACTCACAGGTAACTCGTTGACTGGAGAGCTTTGGTAATCATACTGCATCATTAGGACCCACGTGGGGAAGTCAAATGCCGCTGACTGAACAAAGTTTAAACAACACTTTTATGCTTTTGATGTGTGTTTATGTTCATTGGCGTCACAAGGAGCTCATAAAGAAATGAGTGATTGTAAACATTTTTAGTATTAATAGACTGCAAATAATGACTAACAGGCAGAGAAGGTAATGATTGGGGGCTTGTTAATGTCAAATCGCTGTCCCACACTTTGTAATGGACTTCATGAACTGAGTGCACAGAGTTGGATACAAGCGCAGCAGTTTAACAGCTTTTGACCTGTTAATCAGGTTTCATGTTACCATGGTTACCAAATCATTATTATGAATAGGTTATATATATAGAATCGAGATCGATTATAAGATTACAGACAGATTTCAAGATTCGCAGATGGATTTATTATTAGTTTGGAAATCGCACTAAAATCATGTATTTCAGATCATATAATCTTGTTGTTGGTGTGTTTGCTGTCACACCACAAATGAACAACATCAGAAACTGCCGACCAAGACCCACTATTTCAGGTGGTCTCAGTTTGGTTGTTAAAGCCACATCGCGATGCATTTGGCAGCTTCTACACTAATGTATCACCGCCCAGACGGAAGTGTACATCTGCTCCTAGCTAAAGTTACAGCTCAGCAGCGGAGGACGCCATTAATGTTTACATCTCATGCTGTCCCAAGCACGAGCCTCTTATTCATGAGTAGATGCACACTCTGACAAAACGCACTTCAAGTCTAACCTCTCCCTCCTTTCCTGTTCACAAAGATCCTTGGATCTAAAGAGCACCTGTTTGTGATACCTAAAAAATGTGTAAAATACTCCTCAGCCAACCTACATTATATTGAGTCCTACAAAATAAAACTTGTGCAGCAGGTCCAGCCTCTCTCTGTTCTATATGCTGACATTTTTTTGTGTATCTGTTTCACAGTCAGACCAAAACTAATGGGAGTACCTGCTACAATGCCGTTTCCAAAAATGCTCAACATTCCACAGGTGCCGCTGCCTGTAAAACCTGGGGTAAGACTGTGAAATCCCCTGTGCTCCACAGTGAAATACTGCAGGTGCTTCAGCTCTGTGAGAATGACATGGTTATTTTTTTTCTTGACTGTCTCCAGGTCCAGCACTCGTACCCGGTGCCTCTGATGGAGCGCAGCCTGGCTCTGGACTCGGTGGAGAAAGGCCTCCCAGAGCAGAACAGCTTCAGCAACATTCCTCATGAAGGGAAGCACACACCGCTGTATGAGAGGTCCTCTCCCATCAATCCGGGCCAGCCTGGCAGCCCCAACCACACAGAGGCCGCTTTCTTCAACGCCTCCTCCACATCCTCCTCCTCGGAGAATGAAGACAGCTCAGGCACAACTGCCAAGTGAGTTCAACACAACACTTCCTCTCTGTTACTGTCTCCATTCATCCTTAGCTGTCGGAGGTCATCAGTCTGTCATGGTCACCATCCCACAGGTCATATGTTGTCTTTTCCAGGAACACTGTCAGTACAGGGACAATTTTATCAGTGCAGATCTTTTACCATCCTTTCACTCCATATATCTGCTTTATTACAGCAGGTTCACCCTGTTTGTAATCGCCATCCTTATCAGTGACAACACACTGTATAGTCCCTGCTTTTCCTGAAAGTTAGCTTACTGCTCAAGTGTTTTTTGGGAAGTGGCTATACATTGTAGTGTAGTTTTGTGTTCTCATTTCCTGTTAGTATTTTTCCTGACATAGTTACCAGACACGTTGACACTTTTATAATAGCCATTAAAGCACTCAGCAAGATTTTAACTTGTTAAAGTGCTTGTGAGGTAATGGGTACTTCTTGCAGCAAATGTCCTCAGCTAATGTTTGGTAAAATAACTTTGCAGCACACAATGATTGTACTGCAGTGTTGTATCTAGTCTCTATTGGCAAACATGTTCTGTGTTCTTGATTTTAGCCGTTGTTCCTGTGAACACACATCTCCACATGACGCGCAAAGTTTGTTATTTTAACAAACACTGACATGAAGTCTCACATGTAGCAGCTCTCAGGGTTTGATGGCACTGTGTCTGTGCTGCAAGTATCAGTGATTGTGCAGGAGGAAAGCTTTGCTGCTCTGTAGAAGAATGTGAAGCTTACGGCAGAAATGTGAGGTCATGGAGAGTTCAACTCTCATTTGGTTAAATTGAACACATGACACCTCCTGATACTTGTAAATGGAGATTTGTCTTGCCAGAAACACAAGCATCTGTAACAGGGGTGTATACCTTGTATCCACAAAAATGAACATCTTTATCCAGAGCTCTGTTCAACCCTGCCTAGCTGTCCCCCACAGCAGTGTCTCTGTGACCTGTAGCCCCCTAGTGTTAAGATGATCATACAGACAGGCAGCAGTGATTCATGCACCCCTTCTACAAGATGATGCTTCCTGCCAAAGCACAAGAGTCAAATTAAAATTAAGTTTTTATGAGCTGCGCAGCAGAGTCTACCAATTTCAGGACCAATAAATCGTTCAAGATGAACAAAGAAGAGGCAGCTGAAGTAGTGATGTGTTCATGGTCAGCTTTGAGCAGTTATTTGCCGGTTATTTCTTTTGTCTTTGCCAGTTATTTAGACTGTGTTCTCATTTTCAGTTTTTCTGAATTCAGTGTTATGTGCACTTTTCCTCATCTAAAAGTGTTTCATGTCACATGTAGTGGATGAATACAATTTCAACAATGCAATAGGAAAATGTTCAAAATTAAATAAATATCAGTTAACTTAATATAACACAACATTACACTGTATTTATCAATGCAAGTTCCCACAGCAACACAACACACCATCCTTTTGTAAAATAAAGTGTTTCACATCTAAGCTGCATATTGCTCTGCTCTAAATTTAGCCTGAATTTATGACTTAGCTGTCTCAGAGGGCCTCTTCCACATGACTGCAGTGTCCATCAGTAACATTCATTTTCAGGAGTTGGTTTTTCAGCAACCCAACATCAAAGAAGAATCTAAGTTCCCTCACACTTAAGTGAGATTTCTTAATCGAATGTGTAGCGTGTACTGGTTTTATATTTTCTGTGAATATAATGCAATTGATCTTATTTCCAAATATGTAGTTACACTCGTATCAACTTATTTTGAACATTTGGCACAGTCATAGGTGTATCCTGGGCCACTTCAATGCATTTACAGGTGGTTTGAGCCTAGAGATGCTAGTCATGGCTAGCTTCATTTACAAACATCAGACACTGCCTCTGGACCACTGAGGAGCACAGTAGGAAAACATTTGATCCAGCTTGTCTGACCGAGTACAAGATTGTGGTCAAGTTGGCTGTCACTCGCATCTCCAAAGTCTTGGAGAGTAGAGCAGACGAGCCTGATCAGCTAACTGATTGTTTTTACTGACCCGACATAACCTTTTACATCCGGTATGGGTGGAGAAGCTGAGCGCGGCCTTGGTAAGACACAGGGAGCAGAGGACAGAAGCAGTGTGTCCTTAAATGACACCAAAACATAGTGGCAGAGTTTGTGTGTATTCATATGGTGTAGGTGCTGCGAAAGAAACTAATAAAGCTAATAATGGTCAGGGAAAACCCAAATTTTTATAAACTGCATCTGCATTTTGGCAAATTCTACGATATTCTGCGTTTTACAGTTGATTTCATTATTTTTTCTGGTCTGTAACTCTGTCCCATTCTCATGAACGTGATATCTCAAAAACACTTAGAGGGAACTTCTTCAAATTTGGCACAAACAACCACTTAGACTCAATGATTTACTCATTAGATTTTGATGGTCAGAGGTCATGGTTACTGTGACCTCTTCCTTCTCATTCTTGTGAACACAATATCTCAAGAATACCTTGAGGGAGTTTCTTCGAATTTGGCACAAACGTCTACTTGGACTCAGTGATGTATTGATTTGACTTGGTAGTCAAAGGTCAAGGTCACTGTGACCTTATAGAACATGTTTAGTTGAAACTCAAGAATTCATACACTAATTATGACTAAATTTCACACTAACGTTTTATAGGTTTAAATAATGGAGAGATAACATTTTATATTCAAAAAGCCAAAGGTCAACTTCATTGTGACATCATAATGTTCTGCAAACACTTTTCTGGCCATTATTTTATGCCATACCTCAGGAACAGAAGCAAATTGTATGATCCTCTGTGCTGCCAGGTTGAAGATGTGTGTGAAGCATCTGTGTTTTATAACATGTAGCTTCTCTGCAGCAACATCAATATTTGAAGCTTTGTCTATTATCATGGGTACAAATCAGTCTGGACAGACATGGATGTAAACTTTACTGGTTCATGGAGGCATACAACTGAGAGGGGGGTAATTCTAGTTAATATCAAATTGTGATTCCGTCCAAGCATGTTGTTGCAGTTTCCCTCAAATCTTAGTAACATTGCTGTGACTCTTTTCATGGCTCAAGCGTGAAGCTATCTTCACAGATGCAACAGTGGCCAGACAGAGTCACAGCAGGGTGCATTACATGACATTAGTATTTGTCTCCACCTGTGGAAGGAAAGATATGGGAAATTTTGTGCCACATGATATTTTAAATGTGTAATAGGCTGTTTGAATTTTACATATTTGTGTAGAAATCATAACGCTGTTCCTCTTAGAGCTAAACGTAGACTGTTGTTAGTTTGGTGGGTTGGATGCTGGTGAGTATGTCCAACAGTTTCTGTTAAGAGTGTTCCTTCTGTTCATGTTTCATTCCCCTGCCTCCTGTGGATGAAGATATGACCACCATAATTTAATTTGGGACAATGGGTGTCACTTTATGATGTCACAAATATTGAATGTGTTTTGTGTTGCTGTCCATCTTTGTCTTTTTAGATTGTAGACAAAGGTAGGTTTATACAGAAAACCTGCCTGAATGCTGCTTCAGGTCTGGCAGTGATGATCAAATGAAAGAGGAGTTGGCGTGCTCTCAAAGGCTGTCAAACTGCTGTTGCCTGTTGACACGAGAAAGTGACACTGTGCTCGCAGTAAACATTTTTATTTTCCTGTATGAACACATTAAGTCCCCTTTTATTATATGGACCACTGCCAGTCAAAGGCGATCAATGTTTGGCTCCACTCTGCTCCAACTGAATCCCATGTGTGCTGTTTCTTTAGTCATGTTAGTGACCATAAAGAAGGATGGGACGGAAACGGAGAGACTCCACATTCTGAAAACACACCAGAGGGAGACCTGGGGGACCAAACAAAAGTGAGTGAGGCTTCAGGAACACTTGAGACCTGATTAGAAATCTCACCAGGTGACTAAAGTGAAAGTGCTGTGTCCTGTCTGTCCTCAGGCTGACCTCTGTGTGACCCCTGCTGGGAGTCTGAATGTCCAGATCCCTTCCCTGCTCTCCATGCCGACGAGGAACCATATGGACATCACCATCCCACCCCTCCCTGCCGTGGCCCCCGAGGTCCTGCGGGTGGCCGAGCACAGACACAAGAAGGGCCTTATGTACCCCTACATCTACCACGCTCTCACCAAGGTCAGACGCATCCTGATTATGTTTGGATTAGAGCTGCTCGTAGCTTTTATTTTTATTTGTGTTTGCGCAAAGCTAAAGAAAAAATACACCCTCAGAAAGCACAAGTACTCACATGTCTAGCCAGAAGTGATGCTCAGCTCACACAGACACCATATTAGTGAGTGGAATCTGAAGTATCTATTTGTGGCGTTGTGCAGCATTTAGGTAACAGTGTATCTTTGCAGGGAGAGATTAAGCTGTCTGTCACCATTGAAGATGAAGCTAACAAAGACCTGCCTTCAGCAGTGCAGCTGTTTCGGCCTATCCGTCAATATGTTTACGGAGTGCTCTTCAGCCTGGCTGAGGCCAGGAAGAAGGCTGAGAGACTCGCCATGAGGAAGAACTGCCTCCCTGAATGTGAGTCAGAAAGCACCTTCATGTCACTGTATCACATCCTGTGCTGAGGTTTTTGCACCTGTGTTTAACAAGTGTCTCAGAGTAGAAAGTCCTACCAGCCAAAAATTCTCTGTGATGCATTTTGGGTCCTACTTTTAGGACCAGTTTATAAACTTTCTTAACTTAAGATATCAGGTAAAACAAGCAAGCCATGTGGTTGGCTGATCATTCATTCATCGAAAAATATTATCCATTGCAGAGCTATATTTAAGACTGAATATCTCAACTCTGGGTGACGTTAAAGTTTTTTTTCCCCATGTTTAAAATGTCATGAGTTAACATAATCAATATTTAATCACACAATATAATAGTACTATACAAGACCTGTAAGATGCAGTGCTAATACATGTTAGACATTGTAAAACAACTTGATTAACCAGGGCTGATGAGGATATGTCACCCAGCCAAGTCAAATCGCTATTTCTAAAGTGACACATAGATGTACATGTATTGTTTAAGATACATACATAACATTTAGAGTTTACTCAGAGCCTAATGTTAGTGGCTTAATAGCATTATGAGATTTTAGCTATTTATTATTGTTGGCATCATGTTTTTTCACAAGATTGCCTAGATTATTTACTGACAGCATGCACACAAAGCATATGCATTAAAATCAGGTCTACAACTAAATGATTATTTTCATTACCACCTATTCTGCTAATTATATTGTTTATGAGGTGATTAATCATTCTGTCTATGAAATGCCACAAAATAGTGCAAAATGTCCATTATAATTACCAAGAGCCCAAAATGAAAAATAAAAATGTCTTGTTTTATCTGACCAACAGTCCATAACTCCAAGGTATTCAGTTTACACTGATGTAACCCAACATCAAGCAGCATACCCTCACATTTGTGAAGCTGGAGCCAGAGAAAGTTTTCATCTTAGCTTAAAATATGATGATTAATTCACTGTCACACTAGTTTCCAGTTAATTTCATGTTGATCAGCTGATTGATTAATGGGCTTTTTGTTGCAGTTTTAATATTCTGCATTTTAAATGTTACTGCTGTTTAACAGTCCAAACACATCATCATCAGTTCAACTTTGCAGCTGAGCATGTCACAAAACATCCGCGTCTCACTTTGCGAAGAGAAATCCTTCTTGCTCAAAGTAAATGTAGGAAGTTTCATAAACAGCTTTCACTACTCAGAGGTAGAAACGCTTTTAGGTTTGCCACAGTAGTCAGTGTCACTGGTGTTACAGGGCATTTGGCCATTACTTGTCCACCAACCCCATCATCATTTTGCTTTCTTTAATAGAAGTAAAACCCATTGAGTTCATTTTTGTGTGTCAGCACCCACGTTCTTAAAATTGAAAAAATTAATGAATTTGTAAAATACTAAGCATGTTATCAATGTTTAGTCGGATGATGGACACTACAGTTATTAACTGAAAGTGGCTGCCACATACAGCAGCAGAGTCACAGCACAGAACTCTGCCAGGAGCAAGCCTAGACCTCGACAAGGCAGCGTTCAAGGACCCGTGCTGCTGGGGTGACTGAGGACCTCAGCTCGAAGCTCGATGTTAATCAGTGTGGATGTGAGTGGAGGTCATGATCAAATCTCACGTCAGGTTTCGGCTTGTGTACGCAAGTTTGAGTCAGCATGGGCGTGTGGAGCAGCTTAGTAAATCTGGCTGAGGTGAAGAATTGTTATCAGACCATATTCTGACTCACATCTGAGTTTTTGCAGCCATGTATTAGTCACTTAAAATGTATAGTTGCCACATGGATGCGTGCTTTCTGTCTCAGCTGGCAGTTGCCAGGCTCTGTTAGACTGGCTTCAGGCTGACCGAAGGCTGAACACAACTGGTGTCCGGCTCTTATCTATTTATTTATCTTTTTTTTTTTTTTTTTTTTTTTTTTTTTTTTTTAATACTGACAAAACCAAAGCATGTTTAGATCAAAAAGAAACACATAAACTCTGCCAAGTGTAATTGTATAAATGCAAGTAGGCCATGGGTTATGTTTTTTCTGGTGTCTGGCTTTGACACAGGTGGTGCGTCTGTGTCTCCTCTGCCACCTGTTAGGCCCGAAATGGAAGCAGACTGATATTCGTGGCCACATGCTCCTCGGTCTGAGTCAATTATTAGCTTTTGTATGAATAGGCTATTATAAAAATATTAATATTATGTATTATAGGCTTATAGTATTTCAAATGATATTCCTAATGTATGCGATAGGTCGGTACATACCATGAATCATCAGCGTTTATATCTCTAGCTCTGAGAAATTTCTCTTCTCGGCCGTATTTTGCCCCTTTATGTCGTAAACTCTTGGAGCAAGGCCGCTAAACCGAGAATATGTTGGGGTGGGATACTAAATGACGATTATTTTAAGTGGACACACTTATAAACATCTGATAGTTCCTACACTGTGATCGATGAGGTAAGAATGTTTCATGACTCAAACGCAAACTCTTAGTTACTCGTTAGATGATTTCTGTGCTCGGATCTGTGCTGGTTTGTACATTAGATTGATAATTGAGGGCCCATGACCCGGAGGAGAATAAAAGGATTATTGTGGAAGAAATGGTCACCCTCAGGCCGAGGGCGAACCCTGTGAGAGAAGAGGTAGATGAAAAGGAGGAAGGTGGCACCGCTGAGCTAAATGAAAAAAGCTTCATCAAATTTATTAAAAAGAAAACCAGGTGATGCTACACCAGTAGGTCCTTCTCCATTTTGTTTAAAGCACGGGGAAGATCTAATGATCCAACAATAAAAATAAGCATCATCGACAAAGATCTTCTCTTGTAAAATTTCTGGTATAACTGGTAACACTGGTGTTGTCAGAACTAACCAGCAGGAACATTTCATCACTGTGGAATCCCTACTTTGAGCACAGTCTCTAGGCACTTGATAAATACAAACCCTGATCTTTTCCAAATGTTGTCCCCCAGATACACATGTCATGGTCAAAGAGTGGGCCGCTTACAAAGGCAAGTCTCCCCACACTCCAGAGCTGGTGGAGGCTCTGCCCTTCAGGGAGTGGACCTGTCCCAACCTGAAGAAGCTGTGGCTGGGGAAGGCCGTGGAGGACAAGAATCGGAGGATGAGAGCGTTCCTGGCCTGCATGCGCTCTGACACTCCAGCCATGCTGAACCCTGCCAGCGTCCCCACGCCCCTCTTGGTGCTCTGTTGTGTGCTGCGGTGAGTACACAGCTGTAATCCACACAGATAAAGTCTGTAAGTTTCACTGTTTAGGTGAGAAGTCAACTGTGAAGTGAACTGATAGGGAGTGAGGATTTCTGCAGACAGTTCTTGGTGTTTGTAACACTGTTAACCTTCTGTGTTTTGCTTCAGGTTTATGTTACATTGGCCAGGAGTAAGAATTTTGCGTCGTAACGAACTTGACGCGTTCCTAGCCCAAGCACTTTCTCCTAAACTTTATGAGCCTGACCAGCTGCAGGAACTGAAGGTGATTGTGTAGTGTTTATTATATGAGGAGTGTCTTAGAAACACACACACACGTCATCAATGTCCTGATCATAATCTGCTGTCACGTCAGTCGCTTATTTGACCTTCATGTGTTTAACAGCTCTAAAAGTCACTTTGATTGAGAGAATCCTTTAAGCGTTCATGTTGTGGTGTTTCTCTTGACACTTCTCATATTCTGCAGACTAAACAACCTCCTCGACAAAACACTGTTTTGTACGAGCACGTTGTTCTTGAAGCCGTAGCTTTGCACTAAAGATGTATTTTTGTAGAGCTTTGAGTGACTCAGAGGGGTTCTTGTGTCAGTGTGTGGATGGTTTCTCGACTCCATGTCTCAGACTGAGCTGTCTTCTAATTTGGCCTTACAGTAAACCATCCACACAAGCTTTGGTCCTCGTGGTCTGTCTGTGTGTATCTCTGTCGGCCTGTCTGCTCCTCACTGTGCAGAACATGCAGGTTGTGTGTGCAGGCTTTTTGTGTTGGCTGGATTAGGTTGTGTACCGCTGTATTTTGGCAGCCGGGAGTGAATGGGCTGCTTTCGCTTGCTCTGTGCGTCGCTTTGCACTCTATAAATCTGAATGCTCAGTGGGGCTGTTGAGGGAACATGCTGTCTTTATTTCTTTTTGTCTGGATATTTTCTGAGTCTGGATGTTTCTCTTCTACAGATCGACAACCTGGACCCTCGAGGAGTCCAGCTTGCTGCTCTGTTCATGAGCGGAGTGGACATGGCTCTGTTTGCCAACGACGCTTGCGGACAGCCTATTCCCTGGGAGCACTGCTGTCCCTGGATGTACTTTGATGGCAAGCTGCTTCAGAGTAAACTCATCAGGGCCAACAGGGAGAAGGCCCAGCTCATTGACCTCTGTGACGGTCAGGTAGCTTCTTCCACACCACGCACACAAGTCAGCAAAACACGCTCCACTTACAAGGCCTCAGTGTGATTTAAACCATGTTAGTCTGCAGGTCCTCAAAATGTCTTAAATTCAATTTTGTAAATATTAGCTTTGAACTTTCCTAACTTTGAACCTATGAGGTCTTCATATCCACAAACATTTTATCTAATTTATCCATCTTTTAATTTCTTTTTGTGAAAATGAGTCAAGCTCTTCTCTGACAAAGTCCACATTTCTAATGTTAGAAATCTTTAAACCATTTTATTTGCACTTACTTGTTGGCAAAATGTAGATTTAAGACTCACTCTAATAACCATATTCCCACAAAAAAACTACCTCTGCACAGGACCTTTTGCTCCTTCTTGCATTTTTTGAATTAGAAAAAATGATTAGTCCAAAAATTACTCTTACCTTAGGTTAAGAATGATGTTGAAAAGGCCTTAAAAAGCATTATATGTAGACACTCAGGTTTTGGCCATGTCTACAGGTAAAAGGTTTATTACCTGTTCTGAATGAACACGCACTCAAAGATGGCTCAAAAAGCCTGCTGTCACTTTCGCACTTGAGCGGCGACAGAAGTTGTGTGAAGAATAGACAAACGGGCACTCAAGCATTGCCATACACCTTGAGCAAAGGGTGCGGTGATGGGACCCCGACCATCACAGAGGTGGTTTCGAAGCTGTCAGACGATCCAACAAGTAGTTTGTCTGAAGCAAACTGAGGCCTTCACGTCTTAAGGCTCATTTACACTCCTTTTATGTTCAAAAATAGATACATCTGTTTCAAACATTGTAAACGTCACTGCCTTCATACTTATGATGGTATAGATACAGCCAATAGATGGCACTAGAGGGCAGAGTCAAAAGTTTCTTAAAACAACAAGGCGACGCTGGAGGAGGTTGTAATATTGTACCTTTAAACAGAGGCAGTGTTGTAGAGGCTCGGTGACCTACTTTATTACATGTTTGCTCTGTTACGCAATCTTTTAAATGTCCTCTTCATCTCGTACTATCGTATCTTGCTTAAACTACATTACACTGCCCCCGTGATCTCCAGTGGTACTGCTCTGTTTCATCTATATCTGTAACCTTTCAGAAAACAAATTCAGACAATATGAAGGCAGAGTACAGACGGAAGGTTCCATCCTTCTCTGTCTCCCTACCTAACACTGAGCATAAATGAGCCCTTAGTTTTCACACTGATCATATATGCAGTTTTAGTTTGCACAGAGATATTTAACACTGCAGTACTGAGATTTAATTTATTCATTCAGTCCCCTAACCCTAAAATGTGTCCAAGATTTATATCCGGTTAATCGACTCGTCAGTTGACAGAAAAGTGACAAATGTAAAAGTTCACTTCTTGGTTGGTTAAAGAGTTAAAGAGCTCTTGGGCTCTTGGAAATTGTTGTTTAAATTATTACTTTTTACAGCTGATTGATACTTAATAGATGGAACTTGAGGCAACACACTTCCCTGCAGATTGTTTAATAGTGGAGGTACTGCGCCAAGAAACACAGACAAGTGTCAGCAGGTGGGCAAGAAGATGACTGCTGATGATGTAAATAATGCAGTTATTATTCATTATAAATTCATTACATTCCAAATGTTTTCTGAAGAAGGAAATACATTCAGCACATTAGTTAGGCCTCGAGGACACACTGCAACACTGGAAGCAAGCGGTACTTGTACATATATTTAGTTTAACCCTTACTCTCTCTGCTGGACTCCTGTTGTCTCAGAGCTCATGAAGCTTCCTTAGACCAGTAAAACAACGAGAAGTTTCACAAGGTAAATAATGGCTTGATTCCATATTGATTTGATCAAACAACTATTATGGTGCTGGAACATTTCCTTGTCCATCAGGGCCGCTCCCGCAGTAAAAACACAGCAGTCTGTTAAAGTGACCACAAACTTGATTTAGAAGTGCGTTCCTTCCATATCTTTATCTTTATGAAGAATAAATGATGTGACGTGCCAAGAAGTTTAAGTTACAGAAAACCAGCTATTCAGATTTTTGTCACAAGTCTAGACATCAGCTGTATGTTAGACCGGGATAGTCCTCATCAACCATAAATGAGACCGCTTCAGAGCAGCTTCGCCAAGTTCAACCCAAGAAACTAAATAAAAAAAGTTTATTTGTACTGAGCACTGACTGCCTGTCAGTAATCCCAACAGATCACTTAACAACTCCAAAAAAAATCTAAAGCAAGATCTACATTACCCAGAGCAAGAGAGAGCACTGGGTTACTGATGCAACAAGCTGTTAGCGTGTGTAACAAACATATGTAGAGCAACAAGGTCAACAAGTTTGTTTTGTATCCAGTTCTGCTTGAAATTCATGCCACACACAAATTTTGTCACTTGTGGAAGTTTTATTGTGAAAAATCCTCCAAACGTACATTTGACCTTCAATAGCTGTGCACTGTCCACGCTTCACAGAAGTGGAGAAGTCACTTCCTGTCATCTCTAATTAGACTGATGCCTGTCAGTCACACTTCAGAGGAGACGAGCAGTTTTTCACATCTGTAACCAAACAGGCTTAAAACTTAAAAAAGATAATAACGTGTAGAAGCAGTTTACAGCAGTCTGTGACTTCTCTGAGAGCTGATAGAAAAACAACATGCATAATTAACACTTACTACAAATACATTTGTACTTTTTACAAATTCATGAGTTTGAGTTTCCAGTGCTTTTAACCAAATAGGAAAAATACTTTACTGATACTGGACCAACATTAAAGGGGAACTTACCCACAAAATATTTGGAAATCAGTTAGTCATGTCGTGTTACCTTGAATTTGTGAAAAAAAAACAACTTTGCTTTTCTTGCATGCCTCCACGGAAATCTGCGGGCGTATTATTTGATTGTTGCATTGATTGATTGGAGACCACAATTAAAACAGCAAAACTATATCAAAGTTCAGTTTACAAACTCTCACACAACTCGTGCAGTTTAATCCAAGTCTCATTTATCCAGTCGTATGCTCAGTACTTCCCAAACACATGCATTTTTCTAAACACGTTAGTATTTAAAACGGAACCCAAAGTGAACTTGGGCACTTCAGCATAAAGCTGAATAAATGAGACATGGATTTTACTGCATGAGCTATGTCAGGGTTTGTAAACAGATGTTTTGATATAGTTTTGCTGTTAAACTTGGTCTCCCAGTCAATCAATAAAACAAACAGCAGTTTTATGTTGAGGCGTGCTAGAAAAATGTGAGTGCTCTTCAGGAATTCAAGTTACAATGGCATGACTAATAGATTTACAAGTGGTCATTTTATGGGTGAAGTATTCCTTTAATTAAACACTGTAGCTGCTAAGTGACTGACTCACCTGAAAATATAATCTTTATTTTAATCTATCGTAAAGCTAGAGTGCAGACCATTTACATCCAAATGAATGTCTGCTACATTCAAGCCCTTACCAAACAAGTTCAAACAATGCTGATAAAGCCTGTTGCTGTCAGGGAAATCTCTCCATCTTTCACGGTATACCAGACTTGTGATGGCTTTCCCACACTGGCACATGAGAGGTGATGCATTTTACGGCAACCAGCCATAGCTGTTGGGCAGGAACAGGGGAGAGACCCCCTTCTTAGTGAGGAGCAGCTGCTCAGAGCATGGTAATAAATCCTAAAAAGCATTCAAGGAAATTTTCTAGAGTGGATACCCCAGATAAAAAAGAGAGTCTGAGTTCAGAGAAAGGTTTAAAGTGAAAAGAGGGCTGCAGGGGGCGGGGAGATGTGGTGAGTTCACCTGCAGCCATACATGATAAGCACGAGTCAACAGTGTTTGTGTAATTACTCTCGTGGCCAGAGGGGGGAGACAAAAGTTCCACACTCCAGCTTTTAAGTGAAGGACAGTTATCGGCCCACTCACAGTCTAACAAATAAGCATGAATTTTAGTCAGGAATACAATACCAATACCATAGTACCAATACCTGACATGGCCAGCTGTGCATTTATAGATGAAAATAACTTAAAGCTGCACTACGCAAGATATTTTACTAAATACAGCTGTCTCAGAGTAAATAAAACATGCTGCCCTGTCCTGCCAAAGTGAAACACTGCAGGTTGATTCTAATTTTACAAACAAATACAACTTGGTTTTAGGTGTGGGCACCACGAATGGCCATAATATCTGAGAAGTAAAGTCATCCAAATGTTAATTTTGACAAGTAGAAATGTTAACCAGCAGAGTGAACAGTTTGTTTACAGTCATTTTCTCTCTTCAGACTGAGCTGGTTGCTAAGGTGGAGAAGATGCGTCAGAGCATCCTGGAAGGTCTCAACTTCACCCGGCCACCTCATCCTCCTCCATTCCCCCCGCCGCCACCTCCACCTCCTCACGGGATGCCTTTCTACCCTGTCTCTGGCTCCTTCTACCCCCCACCCCCTATGATGCCACCTCAGGGGAGAGACAGAGGGATGGCTGGTGAGTGCAGCGGCTCTTAAACTAAACCCTACCTGACACATGTGGAAGAGTTTGTGTTCCCTGTGCTGTGTCCTAGACCAGGTACCTACATGTGAGCTACATCAGTTCAGCACTCATGAGAGAAAAGTGTATTACTGTGGATACACTTGCACAGATTAACACCATTGTTCTGCCTTCAAGGAATCTCGTCACAGGGTGGGAAACTGGAGATAGCCGGCACTGTGGTGGGTCAGTGGGCTGGCACTCGACGCAGCAGAGGAAGAGGAGGCTTCCCTGTCCAAGTGGTGTCAGTTGGGGGACCTAATAGAGGGTAAGTACAGAAAGAAGATGCATGACATTGGATTTTTACTGATATGCCGATTTTTCCGGTTCATTTTGGCTAACGACGATACATGCACATATCTTTTCCACACAACTTAAGAGAACATTGAGTCTTTCCTGTAGTGGAACATATTATTATGTCTACTCTTCTCATGATGGTCCACTGGCAGATGCAGACATAAGATACAATGCTTTCGAAATGTGCACATTCACTGGGCAAAGTAAGAAAAGTGCCACAACTGATTAGGTTACATGTAAAAGATACCACATTTATTTTTATGTAACATTTTCCAAAGAAACTGTTATAGTCATCCTACTTTAACAGGCTTGGATGATATTCTCCTTGAGACAGTCCTGACAGTAGCCAGAAGCAGGGCAAATTTCACCTATTTGAAGTAACTAAGGAAAGCATCATCTTATCAGCCTGTCATATCAGCAGAGACGTTCATTTCGGGACAGTTACAGTATTTCATTTTAAAGCCTTTATCTCCCAGTACAGATGATGTGCTGATATTATTGTGCATCCCTAATTCCTTTTCTTATTTATTTCTCCTGTAGTCGCCCCAGAGGTGTGATCTCCACGCCCGTCATAAGGACGTTTGGTCGGGGAGGCAGGTACCACCCTCGAGCCTTCAAGAGTCAGGTAGCATTCCTGGTAAGTGAGTGATGCATCACTCTTCACATGGAAGACATGGGCCTTCACAAAGCACTCATAATGATCTACATTAAATTCCAGTTAATTACAGACAGATTGGGAGTGTACGTTTTCCATTTTGACCCTCTGTGTTTGTGTGTCACTATTGCAGAATAGTGTTTGGCAGCTTGTTACTTCATGCATATCATTTTTTTCACTAAGCAGAGAGCTGGGTCCAAGGTTAAAAATGTTGTCCTCTTCTTGTTGCATGTCCTATTTCCAAAGACAGATTCAGCTTTGTGTCAGTGTACCAGCAGCATTTCCTTCAGAATTTCCCATACACCTGAAATAAAGCTCCTTTCAGGCAATTTAATTCATAAATGTGATGGCAGTTTAATGTGTCTGAATGAGTGCACAGGTCAGTTTTACATGAAAGTAACACCTTGTAACTTGAAGGCAGTCTGAGGCAGGATTGTATTGGCCTGAGGGTAGAAGCTCTTCTGAGCCTCTCAGTGTTGGCCTGGTGAAAACATGTGGAGCTGGTGCACTGTGGACCAGGAATATCCACAGCAAATGTCATGGAAATCTGGGTGTTGGATTTGTAGAGGAGATGTTAGGGTGTTAAGAAATGGTCCTGTGTAAATCATCAATGTCCATTTCAGATTTCACAGCAGTCTCACCTACAGTTTTGCGCTGAAGCAAAAGAGTTTGAGGGGCAGACATGTTTAGGCCCTCCTGGCCTGGAGGATTGCGTAGTGTGCAGATGATCTCACCAACTAATCATATTAAGCTTAGAATGTTCAAATTTAAAGGAGACCTCTTATGGTTCTCCATAATATCTTATGTAGTGTTACAATGAAGAATGGTCATGTTAAGGGTATCAACGGTTTCAAATAATGAGGTAAAGATATGCAAATTCATCCGTGTGAGCAAAAACCTCAGGTATCCTACCATTTTGAACACTCCACTTACAACAGTTTTTTCTACAGTATTCTGGTTATACAGTATGACATCATAGTGTGCTGGATTTCTTTATATCGTCATCTGCTCTTTGCACGCTTCTGCGAGTGCTTACATTACAAAGCCTACACTGCTACATGAAGCTACATGTTAACGTCAAGGATGCTGTAAATTTCTCACTGATTTCGGATCGTATTCCTGCTGGAACATGTCCAGTTGTGTTTAGAAGCTTTTATTAGTGATTTCTCACAGTAGTAAGTTTTTCATTACAGTCATACTCTAGCTGCAAGTGGATTGCTAGCATACATGTAGCTACATGCTAACATCAGGGGAAACTTGTAATCTTGGTTGCTGATGTTGTTAATTTCCCCCGGATTTTGGATCATATTGCTGCTGGAATGTGTGGGGTTGTGTTTAGAGGCTTTTATTGGAGATTTTTCAGAGTGAAAGAGACGCTATTCTCTGTTACAGTCGTTCCTTGGCTGCAGTGACTACACAGAGTTGGCAAGATGTAGAAGAGCTTGAATCACCGACCAATGCAAGCAGACTGGGCTTTTTCAGGAGGGGATTAAAGAGATGGGAGTTAAATCCATCATTCAGACAGAGGGGAAATACAGGTGCACAAGCACAGGCAGTGTAAGGAAAATAGTGTTTTTTGACCAATGAGGCATGTAAACATGTTTTCGTAGAAACCCAAAATACAAGTATGAACCTAAAATGAGCAAACGGGTCCTCTATAATGGATCTAGTCAAAGGGCCTATGGACCTATAGGTGAAATGTAAATTTCTCAAGAACTGGAAAGACAACCTCTGATACCCCTTTTTTAGGAATGTGGGATAATCACATCAGTGGTGGTTATGCCTCAGCATAGACTGTATGTGCTTCACAAAGATCCAAATACAGCTGTTGCTCCTTTCTCTGTTTAATTACAGTGCAACAACAGAATACATAACCATTGTTTGAGCATTCAGCACTGGATGAGTGGGAACTAAACAGCCCCTCAGCACGTCTTTGTGCTGTTTAAAACCCTTTTATTTCACTCCTAATTAACTCCTCGGTTACTCTCCAGTCTTTTTGTTAGTTACAGGAGTTTCAGCCCACATCTGTATTTCCTCCGTGTTGCACACGTCTATAAGCAGAACCACTCACAGTCTAACTGTCATTGGCATGCGTTTAAAATCCTTTTTTGTCTGTCCTTTGCAACAGAGCAAGCCTGCTCATAAGCCTGCTCATACATCTGGACATGATGCAGTGAAGGAGAGAAAGAAGGCCAAGCCAGAGGAGAGGAAATCCTTTGCGGCGCCGTGCGACAACTCAGCCACGGAGAACGGCGTGGAGGACAAAGAGCCGGACCAGCTGAATGGAGATAAAGAGGAACGCAGGGCTCTCATCCAACCTGAAAGTGCCTTAAGCAGTGACTCCAAGACGTGCAATTCTAATCCTCACTTAAATGCACTAAATGTAGACAGCGGCTGCCATAGAGATGAAGGTCTGGAGGCCGCTGTCTTAAAAAAAGAAGAGTAAGCCTATTTTTCTAGAGAGGGTGAAGGATGAATGATGGAACAGGGTTAGGATATCTGGAAAGCCTGCAGTCAATGTACCTTTTTCCTGTCAGATAAAGAAAAGAGATGAAATTCGGATCCCTCTCAGTAAACATGAGATAAACGACACACTGCTAGTTTAAGGAGTTGTTCATCACCAAGATTTCTACATGTTAATGACAATGATACTTTTCCTTTTCGTTAGAATATTAAAGCTAAAGAAGCTTTAATTTGGAAATATTTTAGTTCTTATAGTTTGATGCGCTAGTCGGCGCCACGTCGCCACAGTACTGTCATCAAGTTTGTGTTGTCCAGTAACTGCTTAATGAAAACCAAACGTATAACGAGAAAAACAGAATGCAACACATCCGCCTAGGTCACCACTTTGGGTTCGGGTCATATTGAAGCAACTCTGTTCATCAGTTCAGACGAGCTCCATGTCATTTCAGTCATTAAGCTGTAAGTAACATTTCAAGAAATGGCTCTCAAAATCAACTCGACTTGGTTTCTTGAATCAGACGTAGAGCTGTAGTATTACCGCTTCAATAAAACCTTCTGCATGGTTCACAGTTTCACAGGTGTGTAATTATTATGCATGTTGTCCTTTTTCCTCCATCTTTACAAGTACCCATTTGCAAACTAACGAATGGCTAATATCAGTGATGGCCCATAAAAGGTGTTAACTGTTAGTAACACGTTTGTTCTGACCTTGATTCTTTTGTGACCTCTGTTGCATTTAATAAAAGACAAAAAAACAGGAAGTTATCTACCCACTCTGAAATAGTGTATTCACACAATATTGTTCTCTGTTGCTGTTTTCTGCATTAGTCAAATATCTGAGAAAAAATAAAAAAGCTTTGATGAAAGTCACTTCTTTTGTAGCTGAAAGCAACATCCTCAATCACTCCCGATTAAGACTTTAGCCGTCAGCCAGTAATCAATTTTGAGATTTACTTTAGTGTTGTTTTTCCACTCATACTTCCACACCAGTATCATCATCTAACCTTTTGACTTAATTCTCCTTTTCATGTTTCATTAGTGATCAGAGAAATGGTGTATTCCCCCCGCCAGAGCTAAATAGGTTTCCTTCTATGTAAGTTGATCAGTTTCTTAACTCATGGATTGTAAAAGAATGAACTGCTGTTGGGGTTTGGTTGAACATTGGTGGATTGTGGCGTGGTGTATGTGAAGGCTATGATGCTTAATAAAACTATATTCTTTTAGTACAAGTTGTTGGTCGTTTGTTTATTTATCCCTCATCGTACTGTAACAGCATGTAGGCATTAATATTTCACCTTTCCCCTGCTCACTGACTGACTGCATATTTAAATCAGTGCATTCATTTTTAAAAGCAGTAGAGTGAGCAAATCTGCTCTGAATGCTAACAGGCCAAATTACAAAATCATGGCTTGTAAGGGCTTTGCCTTGTGGAAATGGAAAGTGTATTTTAAGATTATCCAACAATCTTTAAGACCCGCTCAGATGAAGGAGATATAAATTAGAGATATTTTATTGACAAAACAATCCCATCTTATACAGAGCTTTCAATTGTATTAAGAGTGATGATTCTTGTCGCAGTTTTCTCCCTTATCATTTGACTGCATGTGTCAATTAAAGACACTTAAAATTCTAAACTGATAGGAGTGGGTGAACTTTGACCTGCACCATCATTATGAGTCCTATCGTCAATACAAAAACACATATTACATGTCTGAGAACAATCTATACACATACAAGTACATCTAATACTGCTGGGACATGCTCAACCAGAGACACTGAGGCAGTTGTTTGATTTATTTGACTAATCAATTATTTAATTGAAAATCTGTCAAATTATTTCTGCAATATTGTAATGCCTCTGCAAATGAATATAATCATGCAAAATGATCTATTGGACTCATTTTGTGAATATTACTGTGAAGCAATAGATGTGACTGTCATTTTCTAGTGATCAATACAGTCTCCTGTACAGCACAGCGCTGTTGCAAGGATTAGAAGTCTGTGTTCCTCCTGCAGAATATCACCAACCTATTACATTTTTTGACTAGACACCAAGTGTCAAATTTTCAAAGCAGTTAAACAACACCAAAATTGTAAATTGGATATATTAATTTAACTATATTAAAAAAAAATCATATATTTTCTGTAGGTATTATTTCCCTAGGTCATTGTGTAAATGCTGTTTCAGTCTTCACATTGCCAGGTATTTAGATATTTGAGTGGATTATAATTTAATTTATTTATGTTTTGTTTTGTTTTTACCAACAAAACCTAATTTTTTATACAATTTGGATTTTTTTTATTTGGATTTTTTTTTTTTTATGATTTTTTTACATTTATTTTCATTTTTTTTAACTTATTTGGATTTTTTATCTATTTGGATTTTTTTTTACATTTATTTTCATTTTTTATATTTATTTTCATTTTTTTAATATTTCATTTTTTTTAATTGTTTTTATGTCTTTGTTGTTGTTTTTTGACCAACAAAACCTCTTTTTTTTTTTTTAAACATTTAATCTAAAACCAGCCTCACACTCAGTCTTTAAAACCCAACATCTATAACGTGTATTGGTAGAATAACACATAGATGTCCTAATATTACTGATCCATAACCTGTTTGGTACCTATGACCCTACCCCTATAAAAAAATGGCAAAACTTAAAAAAAAAAAAAAAAAAGATTTTTCTTTATTTATTTTTTATCATGATATTTAACAAATATGACCAAACAATAAATGGTTTCTGTAATTTCCATAGAAACAATATTAGCTTGATTTCATTTTATTTCTATGGTAATTACATAATGCAGTTATTTATTTCTTAATCTAATAGATATTACGCCTAATTATATACAATCTGATATATTCTGATGTAATATACATTATTACACCTTTTAATTTATTATTCTGCACTGTTAAAACAGCATTATTTCATTCGGTTATCACGTAAACATAATTATGTAATAGCATAAGAATCTGCACTTATGGCACAATGTGACATTATTCCATCAGCTAACAATAAGCATTGTGAGACTGCTGATAAAAGGCTTTTATTTTGCCTGTATGTGTTGATGGGGGCTGATCGCTGCAGTGTTGATTGATCCGGACGTTCATTCATCTGATTTGAGCTCCGCTGATTTAAACCTGCTCCCTGACGTAACTTTCACATTTATTTATTTATTTATTTCGCAACGACATCGAGGCTACATTTTCTTCTGGCTCCTAATATGACCGCCTCGGTGCCGAGCAGTCACCAGGGGGCATGCACATAGTAATAATAATAATAATGCATTTCAGGAAAGCCTGCTACGACGAGCCTCCATCGTTTGCACCACACGGCCGTGGTGTGATGGAGATGTGCGCTTAGCTTCATGTGTCCGGCGGGTCTGCCCCTGGCTTTTTTTCTGGGGAAGATCATATTGGATCATATTGTTTGCAGGACGTTGTTCCTCCTGCAGCCCCCCCAGTCTATCCCGACGTAGTTGTGAATTGAACATGGCGACTGTACCAGTATATTGCATCTGCAGATTACCTTACGACGTGACCCAGTTTATGATCGAGTGCGATGCTTGCAAGGACTGGTTCCACGGCAGGTAAGGCCAGATTGCTCACCGTGGTGTTTTTGTGGCGCTTTGCATTTGTTTTAAACAAACAAAAATGGCGAGGTCTCGGTGCGTTTGACAGCTTTGTGGCTCTCAGTCGCCCGTCTACATCTGAAGAGAGGCCGCTTGGAGAAGAAGAAGAAGGCGGAGTTAAATATAGCCGACCGGGGTTGTGACATTTTTTCGCGAATAACACAAAACAGATTGCTCTTATAAAAAGTTACGGTGGTTAATAGAGTGATTTCGGTGTGGGTTTCGTCTAATAATTGCACTTAATGCTGATTTAACATCCCCGCATAGCCCCAAACTAAACCGTCCCCGTTGTAGTGAGCGGGCGGCAGAGGCATCGGGGGAAGCCTCGGCAGTCTCGCTGCTCATTTGTCTCCCATTTCCCCTCTTCATGGCCGCTTTCACTGCGATATTTCGCTTATATTGTCTGTAAATGTTGTCACACTTTAACCGTCCTCGGAGCTTTCACCGAGTGTTTTCACGGAGCACGGCTGAAAATCACGACCCGAGTCTGAGCTCAGCTCCGCACAGCCTTCCTGCCAGGCAGCAGCTATGGCTGACAATAGCCCGGACTGGATGCCCTTAAGCTTTAGCGGGGGAAATAATACACTTATTAACACACAGCCAGCAGCTTTGTCACTTCTGTGAGCTTCGGCTGATTGCTATTTTCTTTCACTGCGTTTAAACGGAGACGTATGCTCCGCCGCCGCTCATCACTTTCTCCGCCGTCCATGAGCTGTAATGATCCCTGTTATCATCATGTTATATTTGCCTCCTGTTGTTGGAGTTGTTGCTACACCAGTCAGTCCCTGCACCCGTCTTTGTTTTGCCATGTTTCATGCTGTTCGGCTGCACTCTGCATGTCTTTTTGGGAATAGATCATTTGTTAATCGTGTTTCGTTTTGGTGAACAAGCCCTTCAGAGCGATGAACAGTATTTACGCGCCTGAACGTTAACCCTTTAATGCTCCCCCTGGCTGCCTGCGCTGTGTGGAGCTTTATCACTGTATATAGGAGCGAATTAAAGGCTGGAGATAAGCCATGACCTCCAGTCACGCATCAGCATGAGCCAAACAACCAGTATAATGAAAAAAAAATCCTATTGAAAATTTAGATCCTAAATATTCCTATATCAGCATGATGCTGCTTACTATATCATTTATATACAGCAGGGAATTCTGTGAGTTCAAATCTGAAAGGTTTATGTCCCCTGTTAAATAAGTGTTGCTTATAATAAAATCAAATCATTCAGGAACCTGAGCTGGCCTCAGCTGACCTCTATTAAGTGAAAAATTAGGTTACTTAACTCAAATTATAAATGGAAATATAAACAGCACTTAAGCTATGTACATTTAGAGCAGGAAAAAAATATATAATACTTAACGCACCTATTATGTTATCAAACTGGATCTGTGGTACTCACTTCTGAGATGAAGTCACTGTAGAGGTTGTTACGGTATTATTAGTCCTACATGACATCAACATAATTATGGTTTTTGGTACACAGCAACATCTGCAAACTGAAAAGCAGGGAGCCATTAATGGAGCCCTGTGGGATCCCTCATACAATATTATGCATCTCACTTTGTCTCTCCTCAGCCATTTAAATAGTCTGTTGTGATGAGCTGGATATGCACTGTATTTGCTTTGGAGGTGGCAAAGGGTAGCATTTGTTATCTGACATGTTCACACACATGTATGCATGCATATGGCAAGAGGAGTTAATAAGTGGTAATTACACTGTCAAGTAGGCTTGGGCAGTTTCTATTTTTTCATACCGTCAAACCTTCCTGACATTTCACAGGGATATACAGTACATGATGTTATTTGTGTTTAAAAAATGTAAAAGCTGCGTTACTGGGGGTAAAGTCATTGCTTACAATGCTGTGTTTTTGCCTACTTAGATAAGTCTTGCCTTGTTTAGATACCTGTGGACCTGATGACACTCATTGCTGCAGCAGATACAGACACATCAGTGGGCTGAACAGAAATGATGTGTTGAATAATATCATGGCTAAAAATTGCGCTTGTAGATGGAAGAGGTTGTCTTAAGATAGTTATATGTGGTATTTTTTTCCCTAGTTCTGTAACGTTATCCTCACCATTCGCAGTTGTCATCTTTCTCAGCTCAGCTGCCTGTGCCACCAGTAGAGACTGACCTCTGGTGCCACGTGCTGTGCACTTACATCACCTCAATACAGCATCTCTGTATCAGTTTAAAAGAAAGAGAAGCGTCTGTAATTTTGACGGTATTGAAAATCATACCTTCAGGATTCCTTAATACCCAAGTATACCGCAATACCTTGACAGCAGCCAAGCTTTATGTCAAGCTATAAAAATATCAAGGGAATAGTTTGTGTGGTGTTGAAATATGATTACACTGGTTGTAACAACACACATGTGTGTTGTAATGAGCATGGAGTAGTTATGTTCATTTATTTCCAGAATATGGTAAAAATGAAATATATTGGGGAACATGTTGCTGTCATAGAGTCTGGTAAGAAGACAGGTATGAGTTTCTCTTAGCCCAGCTCCATCAAAACTGAACAACAACCCTTTGTACAACTTCTGTCTTATTTACATCTAAAAGAGTCATCCTGGTTTCCGCCGTGTTTGAGTCA